TGCCAGCAACTTGGGAGGCCGAGGCAGGGTTATCATAAATTCAAGTCCAGCTTCAGCAATTTGTGAGGCCCTAAGCAATTTGGTGAGAACCTGTCTCAAAAAGGGCTGAGGATGTGGCTCAGTGGTAAAGTACCATTAGGTTCAATCTCCCAGCACCAAAGGAAGGAAAGAAAGAATGAAGGCAGGAAAAAACAAATGGAAACTTATTTGTACTAACTTAGTGATGTAATGTTTTCAGCATTTAGGGAAAGGTAAGAACCACAGGCTGAGAGATCAGAAAGCCTCATGGAGGACAGAGATTAAGGACAGGTCTAATAATAGTAGATAAATAATCCCATGTTAGTAAGGGAGTGTCAGCTGGGTCAACATTACATGAGTCCCCATAGCAAATCTTTAGGGTACATTGACATTTGCTCTTTGGCCCTCCTTAAAAACTCTGAAGTCAGGGCTGGGCATATAGCTTAGTGCTAGAGCACTTGCCTAGCATGTGCAAAGCCCTGGGTTTGATCCCCAGCACTGCAACAAAAAACAAAACAATTTTTAAGATGACTCTGAAGTTAAGATGTGATTGGTTTTGGCCATGGTTTTTCCCAAAGCACATAACATCTTCAGTTTCTCCTCCCAGGTAGCAGTTAAAACACCATTCAGAATGTCCATCTTCCACCACTCTCTAATTGCCAGTGCTAAAAGAGCCAAGTCGCAGAATACATCCACTTCAGCAGATGGTAGTGTGCAGTTTGACCATGCAGAGAGCTTTACTGGTGCAGAGTACATGGTCCAGGGGACTACAACAGTCTCTTTGGTTGAGCACTCACTTGTAAGAGCACCAAAGCTCTCTACTTCCTCAACCTCGTTTACTCTCCTACGATTTGACTTGTGCTCCCTCCACACCACTGAAACTCTTTCCACCATGTTCAGTGTTTATCCTCCTTAACTGTTCTGGAGCATTCCCCATTGTTGATGGGTTCTAGAATCTCCTCTTTTGACTTTCCAATTCTCCTATTTATCTGGCTGTTCTTTTGTAGTCTTGCCCCATGTCATTGTCCTCCTCAGCCTCTCCTTAAGTGTTATTATTTGCCAAGGTTTTATGATTGGGCCTGTTTTCTTCATCAAATGCTTCTCTTTGGATGATTTCATTTACTCCTAAAGCTTCCCCACCACCTCTTCTGAGGATTCTTCAATCTGTATCTGCTGCCCAAATCTCTTCCAAAGTTGAGGGAAGGAGGGGGAAAGCCCAGTGGATTTCAACACACCTTTGTTATATACTTATTTATTTTAAATCTCCAGCTCTGCAAAATTAATGAAAATAGAGTTCATTCTTTTTTTCTTTTCTTTTCTTCCTTCCCTCCTTCCCTCCCTCCCTTCCTTTCTTTCTGTTTTGGGGATTGAACTCAGGGGCACTCAACCATTGAGCCACATCCCAGCCCTTTTTTGTATTTTATTTAGAGACAGGGTCTCACTGAGTTGCTTAGTGAGGCTGGCTTTGAACTTGTCATCCTCCTATCTTAGCCTCCCAAGCTGCTGGAATTACAGGTATACACCATTGTGCCCGATAGAGTGCTTTCATTTTATAATGTACTATAAATATGTTTTAGTCAAAACCTTGGAGCTGAAGATTAGGCCATTAGATGTAGGGGGAAAGTCTACTCCTTAACCTCCTTATCATTGTAGTGTTTTCATTGTAAATCAATTAGCCAAATCATACATACAGTATTTTGTTAGAAAAAGTCTGGCTTTTTAATTCAAAAAAAATTAATATGTATTTCAAGAAATACATATTAAAATCATTGAGAAACAAAGTATAGAACATATGCTATAAAACTGACAATTAAAAGAGTCACACTTAAATTAATATAGGTATAATTAACATCCATTTTATAATAGTTAAAAAACAAGAATAAATTTATACATCTAGGGCTGGGGTTGTGGCTCAGGAGTAGAGCACTCGCCTAGCACATGTGAGACCCAGGGTTTGATCCTCAGCATCACATAAAAATAAATAAAATAAAATAAAGGTATTGTGTCCAACTACAACTAAAAATAATAAATATTAAAACATTATACATTTAGCAGTTTCTTACATGTAGTAGTTTATAAGGTGTATTTAACAAGATAATGAGGCTGGAGACATCTGCCTATTGAAATGGGGACCTTGGAGAATGGGATCCCACCACCCCAGATTAAAACTCTAGGCAAAAGTTACTTTCTTGTTTGTTTTTGTCTGCTTGACTGGAAGGTCTCACTCACACTTGGGTACCCATATATTCTGTTACTGCCCTAGGAAGGCAAAGCCACAATGGTAATGATATTTCCTTGACTACCTTAATATTAGTCAACCCCAGAGAGTTGTTTTGAACCCAAGCAATTATTTTGTTTTAAGGAACAAGTATAGGACAAACTCAGGTTAACAAAGACATTAAACCAACCTATTATGGAAATAAATTGAAATTGTACACTTTCAATTGAGTCAGAAAAAAGAGCCATCAAGAGAGACTTTCCAATGAAAGGTTAGTTCCTCATCAAAATAGTATAAAAACCCCTAGACAGAGAACCACCAACTATACCCTTTGGACGTTACCTTCCCCATGCTGTGGGAGCTTTTCTTGCTTGCTTCGAATAAATCTGCTACTGAATTCTCATCCTCCATTGTCTGCATACTTTATTCTGGTGTGTGAAATAAGAATCCTCCAACACTCACATGATCCTGTTAAAATCAGTTATTATGAATGGAAGACTATTATGAAAGTTATAACCAAATTTCTCCAGAAAAACAGAACTAACAGGATGAATAGATGGAGAAAGGGTGAGAAATTTATTATGAGGAACTGGTTCATGCAATTATGGAGGCTGAGAAATCCCACAATCTGCCATCTACAAACTGGAGACCCAGGAAAGCTATTGGTGTCATTTCTTAGTCCAAAGGGCTGAGAATATGAGGGGGAACCTATCATGCCCATGTGAGGGCAGGAGAAGATGAGATGTTCTAGCACAAAAAGGAGGGCAGAAGAAAGAGAATGAATTTCACCTTCCTCTGTCTTTTGTTCTAGTCAGGCCCTCTGCAGAGTGGATGATGCTAACCACATTGGAGAGGGCAATCTACTTTATTGAGCCCACTGATTCAAATGCTAAACTCCTCCGGAAATACTCTCATAGAAACAACCAGAAATAATGTTTAATCTGGGTGCCCAGGACCCACTCAAGTTGACACATAAAATTAACCATCATAGTGTGTGTGTGTGTGTGTGTGTGTGTGTGTATGTAATCCTGGTGTCCAGCTTCTAAGATAAAGAATTGTATAGAAATAAGTTTTTTAAAAAATGCCATCACTTGCACTATCCTCACCACTTATTGTTTAGTCATCTTGATCGAATTTTCTTAGATAAGTAACTGAGGAGAAAAACCTATACTGCTTAAAAACTGGTCAGCATCTAGCATATTTTATTTTTTGGTATCTAAATAAATTAATAAAATAAAGGTCCATCAACAACTAAAAATACATATGAAAATAACTTTAAAAAAGAGTTAGTCCCATTATTCCTTTTCTTTTGACATATTTCCCCTTAGCTTCTTTGCTTCTGTTTATTTTCTACAAATTATTTACCTCCCTTTGCTTTCTCATATACTTTGAAGGTAGTTTAAAGAGGACCCTAAAGTAATTTAAAGAACCCTAAAGTAATTTAAAGTCTCTGGGATTACAGGTCTGGACACCCTGCTCAGCTATATCTTAATATTGCGCTATGTTGAAAAGAACTACTTGAATTTGAACTTCTGTCCATTTTGTTCAGTTTATTTGTTTGGTTTTTGTACTAGGGATTGAACCCAGGGTAGGTCTACCACTGCAGTTTGTCCCCAGCCCTTTTTATTTTTCTTTCTTTTCTTTCTTTATTTACAGACAGGGTTTAAGTTGCCCAGGCTGTGCTCAAATTGTCAGCCTACTGCCTTGGCTTTATCCATCTCAACCTCAACCTCCCCAATAGCTGGGATTAGAGGTATGTCACTGCACCTTGGGGCATTATCATTATTATTTTAGGTACTGGGGATTGAACCCATGATACTCTACGACTGAGCTACATCTCCAGCCCTTTTTATTGTATTTTGAGACAGGGTTGCTGAAATTGGCCTCGAATATGCCATCCACTTGCCTCAGCCTCCAGAGAAATGGGGATTACAGATGTGCAGGTTTTTATTATGCTGGAAGCCTCAAAAAGTATAAGTGGTCCGGGTTTCTGAGTCTTGGAGGCTCAGAGAAAAGTACTGGTGAAACACATTTTGAAATCATCAGCAGCCAGACATTATTAAAGTCAAGAGGCTTAAGGTGGTCCCCTAAGACACCTACAAAGAAGGTTAACTAGAAATAGACAAAGTGCTGCAAGAAAACTAAATGAAGTCAGAAAAAGATGGGAAGGAAAACAGAAGGCAAGAATGCATTTTAAGAAGGGGATTAATCAACAGCGTTAACTATTTTGCTGACTTTCTTCTGTAGCACCAACCAGGAACTCTACCAACTCCTTTGTTTTAAGGAACAAGTATAGGACAAACTCAGGTTAACAAAGACATTAAACCACACCTCTTTGACTCTTATGGAGGGGGGATTCTAACTCTTAGTTTACAGTTTATTTCCTCCAAATGGACCGCTCAAGGAGGTTTGAATCTTAATCACTCTTCTATTTCATACAGCCTTATTCCTACAGTTCACCTAATATCAGTTAAATGACTTTAAGAACATTTTAAAAACCACTCGGACAAAACTAAAGACTTTTTACGGTCTCGAGAAGCCGAAATACCCCCGGGGCACGATCACACTGCGCAAGCGCAAAGGCAGACCTCTAGCTTTCCGCGTCTTTGCATTTGGCGCGAAATTCGCGCTCAGTGGGCGGGGCTCTGGGCAAAAACGCCATTCATTGGGCAGGTTTGGCGCGAAATCCCCGAGCTCCTACGCGACGATTGGCTCCAGCCGTTCCGACGAGCGAGGGGGCGGGACGGAAGCGGCGGCGGCGCGCGCAAAGCGGCGTCTAGGGAGAAGCGACTCGTGGCGGTATTGGCTTGGCGGTAGCGGTCCCGCGGTAGTAAGCAGCAATGGACCTCGCAGCAGCAGCAGAGCCAGTAGCCGGTAGTCAGCACTTAGAAGTCCGCGACGAGGTGGCCGAGAAGTGCCAGAAACTGTTCCTGGACTTCTTGGAGGAGTAAGTCTCTCGGCGTGCACCCCGGGCCTCCCCAGCCGCCCGCCTCCGGCCCGCGGTCTCCGGGCCGGGCGGGGCCGTGAGGCAGGCGGGTGTTCCGGAACCTAGGGGGTCTCTAGCCGGGGAAGAGCGGCCCCCGCCCCATCTTAGACTCCAGGCCAGGCCTCCAGGAGGAGCCTGGGACCTGTGGTCTGGTTTCATGGGTAAAAGCCTCCTCGATCCCTTGCTCAAACCCCTGTTGCACCCAATGCCTTGTGTTCGGCATTGTGCTTTTATCATTTCATGCTCACAACCTGGGAGGTCTGTGTTTACATGGCCTGGTAACCTTAGGGAAATTCAGGCGCGGTGAGGATGAGCACCTGCCCGCTTGGGCCGCTGGGCTCAGTGGGGTCGATGAGAGGCCGAACTGGCCTTAAGTTCTGGAAGACCCCATCAGACCTCACCGCCAGAAACCTGGCGCTGCAGGCGCCGTGGGCTCGCATCACCATTGGAGTCTGTGTTGGATGAAAGTAATGGCGTGGACATTGAGGTTGGGTAGGTGCTCAGATAGGTTCTGCCCTGCTTAAAAGTAGCTGAAATACCCCTTGTTTGGGGTTGCAGGCTCCAACCGCACTAGCCTTTTAAAGTTGCCTTGTAGGTTCCTGGCTTCTCATAACTCCCCTCCCTAGCTTACACCGCCCATCTTAACTTTTCTTAGTGCAGGTACACCAGTGCTCTCCCTAATGTATGAACTCTGCTGCCTCGAGAGTGAAGTGGTAAACTCTTTGAAATGTCTTATGAATTTCTCTTCATTTTTTAAAAATTGTAAAATATATATTACATAATTTATTTGTTTAACCAGTTTTTAGCTTGCAGTAAAAAAGTGCCAGTAAGTGTGTTCATTGTACAACTACCACATCCATGACCTAAATGCTCTTCAGCTTCCCAAGCTCTGTACCCACTAAAAGGTAACACCCACTCCCTCCTTGTCCTAAGCCCTGGCAACCACACTGTGAATTTGATTACTCTAAGTGCCTCATATAAGTATGTTGTGTGTGTTTTTTTTGTGTGTGTGTGTGTGGTGCTGGGGATTGAACCCAGGGCCTTGTGCATGTGAGCAAGCACTCTACCAACTGAGCTATATCCCCAGCCCTAAATATGTTTGTATATCTGGCTTATTTCACTTTATTTCATTCAGCATAATGTGTTATAGTTTATATCCTAATTTCTATCCCCCTCGCCCAAATGAAGTCTTACTATGTTGCCAGGCTAGTCTTGAACTCCTGGACTCTGGGGATCCTCCTGCCTCTGCCTCCTGAGTGCTGGAATTGCAGGCATGTGCCACCATACCCAATTTTTTGTTTTGTTTAGTACCAGGAATTGAATCCAGTGGTGCTTAACCAGTAAGCTGTTCTCAGCTCTTTTTAATATTTTATTTAGAGAAAGCATTTTACTCAGTTACTTTAGGACCTCGCTAAATTTCTGAGACTGGCTTTGAACTTGCAGTGTTCTTGGCTTCATACCCAGTTAAAATTTAATTTTTTTCTTGAGATTGGTGTTGTATGTATATATCACATTTTGCTTATGTATTCATCTGTGAGTGGACACTTGGGTTGCTTCCACTTTTGCCTACTTGAATAATGCTATATTAAGAAGTTTTGCGGGGCTGGGGATGTGGCTCAAGCGGTAGCGCACTCGCCTGGCATGCGTGCGGCCCGGGTTCGATCCTCAGCACCACATACAAACAAAGATGTTGTGTCCGCCGAAAAACTAAAAAATAAATATTAAAATTCTCTCTCTCTTTAAAACAAAAAACAAAAAGAAGTTTTGCTATGCTTAAAACCATCATTTAAGGGGCTGGGATTGTGGCTCAGAGGTAGAGCACTCGCCTAGCATGGGCGGGACCCGGGTTTGATCCTCAGCACCACATAAAAATAAAGGCATTGTGTTGTATCCATCTACATCTAAAAAAATAAATATTAAAAAAAAAGTCATTTAATTTCTGTTTCCAAAATTACATCCCGTAATCCCAGCGGCTCAGGAGGCTGAGGCAGGAGGATCTCGAGTTCAAAGCCAGCCTCACCAACTTAGTGAGGCCCTCAGCAACTTAGCAAGACCTTGTCTCTGAATCAAAATACAAAATAGGGCTGGGCATGTGGCTCAGTGGTCCAGTGCCCCTGAGTTCAATCCCTGGTACCACCACCTTCCCCGCACCCCCACCCCCCCAAATGATTTAATTTCTGTTTCTAGCCAAGTGCAGTGGCTCACACCTGTAATCCCAGCTGCTAGGGAAGCTAAGGCAGAGGACTGTGGGTTCAAAGCCAACCAACCTCAGCAACTTATCAAGAACCAAAGCAGCTTAGCAAGACTCAGTCTCTAAATACAATATAAAAAAGGGTGGTTAAGCACCCCTGAGTCATCCTCAGTAACCCCCAACCCCCAATTTTTTTTCTATTTCCCTGCTACCGGCAATATTCTTCTCAGTCTGACAACTCTTCATCTTTCAAAGCCCGAGTAGACTGTAATCTCATCTACTCCAGAAGCTGATGCAAGAGGATCACAAGTTCCAGGCCAGTTTCTGCAACTTAGTGAGACCCTGTCTCAAAAAAGGACTGGAGATGCAGCTCAATGATAAAGCACTCCTGGTTTCAGTCCTCAGTATGGGGGGCCATGGGAGCCCAGCTAAAGGCTCATCTTTGTGAAATTCTGTAAACCTTTCAGGGATCAAGCACCAATCTGTTCCCTTATGCTTCCAGGGTTCCTACCATTTTCCATATATCTTTACCTGTCAGCCACATAATCTGGAATATGTCCCATTCACAATCAAACTTAGCTACCATATCACCTTACAAAGGTCTTCAGTAAATGTTTCATTTCAACACATAATGTATGTGCCTTCACTTTATCTTGTAGCTAGATGCCACGGATAATGATAAACAAGACAGACCCTATACTTTGTTTAAAAAGTCAACTTGCTCTCACAAAACCAATTTTGGTTTGTCATTGCTTATGGAATAGTCCAAATTCTTCCCTCATTTCTAGTTTCATTATTTATCATCTACACTTCTTCCCATACCTTCTCTGACTTTCCCACATACTTGCAAACATCTATAACCAGTCTTCTACCACCTTTTTCTCTTTAGTTTTTTTATGTCTTTCAAGGCTGAATTCCAATTCCGTTTTTTTAAGCTCTCTTCAATAATAGTAAATTTATTGTGTGTATGTGTGGTGTTGGGGATTGAACCTAGGGCTTCACACATGCTAGACAAGGGCTTTATCACTTAGCTACATCCCAGCCCTCTTAAATTTTATTTTAAGGCAGGGTCTCACAGAGTTGCCTGGGCTGGTCTTAAACTTGCAATCCTCTTGCCTCAACCTCTGGAGTACTTGAGATTACAGATGCCTGCCATACCACAGCCAGCTAGATACTGTTTCATGTATAGAAGAATCAGAACATGCTGTATTTAGAGAAGGAGTTGATTTTTTTCCTCTAAAGTTAGCCTGTATATTTTGCGGGTGATGGTTTTTCCTATTTTGTTTGTACTGGGGTTTTATCCCAGGGAAGATCTACCATGAATTGACACCCCTAAACCTTTTTATTTTCGTTTTAAGAATCTTGCTAAGTTGCTGAGGCTGGCCCCAAATTTTTATCCTTCTGCCTCTGCCTCCCAGTTTGCTGGGATTACAGGCATGCACTGCACCCAGCTGCATATTATGTTAAAGAGAATAGAAAATAACTTTGATATTCTGTTGGGCTTTGGTGAGTTTATGTTTTTGCAGTATTGGGAGTTGAACCCACGGCTTCCCACATGGTAGATAGTACTCTACCTCTGAGCTACATCTGCCCCTGCTTTATTTTGTTTGTATGTGTATTTCCATTTTCCTGAGATCTTAGGCAGTACCATAGTTTTTTTTTTCCCCCATAGTAAACAGTTTTTTATTGACTCAGCAGAATCTTTATCACAGTTTTTTTTTCTTTTTATTGGCACATTATAGTTGGGTGGGATTTGTTGTTACATATTTGTACATACACACAATAGAACAATATAATTTGACCAATATCATTCCCCTGTATTTCCCTTTTCCCTCCCCCAGTCCTTTTCCTCTACTCTACTGATCTCTCTCCAGTTTTCTTGAGAATCTTCCTGTCGCCCCCTACCCACTGGTCTTTCTTTTCCTTTTTCCTCTCTAATTTCTATATATGAAAGAAAACATGACCATTGACTTTGAGTTTGGTTTATTTTGCTTACTATAATGTTCCATCCATTTTCCTGCAAATGACATAATTTCATTTTTCTTTATTGCTGAATAAAACTCCATTTTGCCTGGCTATTGTTTGTATTCTTGATGATTGCCATTTTGACTGGAGATGGAATCTTAGTGCAGTGTTTTTGGTTTTGGGGGCAGGGAAGGGGTAGTTGGGATTGACCCCAGTTACCTTTAACCACTGAGCCACATACCTGGCCCTTTTTTGTATTTTATTTAGAGGCAGGGTCTTGATGAGTTGCTTAGAGCCTGGCTAAGGTGCTGAGGCTACCTTTGAACTCATGATCCTCCTGCCTCAGCCTCCTGAGCCATTGAGATTATAGGTGTGTGCCTCGCTTTCAGTGTAGTTTTGATTTGCATTTCCCTAATTGCTAATGATGTTGAAAATTTTTTCATGTATTCATTTGCCATTTGTATGTCTTTTGAGAAGTGTGCTTGATTAATTTGCCCGTTTATTAACTGGGCTACATTTTTGGTGTTTTTCAAGTTCTTGATATATTCTGGATATTAATTCTTTCAGGTGAGGTGAATAGCTAACAAAGATCTTTCTCCCTTTCTGTAGGTTCTGTTTCGCATCTTAATTGTTTCCTTTGTTGTTCAGGAAGCTTTTTAATTTGATACTATCGTAGTATTTGTTTATTCTAGGCATTATTTCCTGAGCTTTAGGAGTTCTGTTGACAAAGTTGTTGCCTATGCCCACATGTTGGAGTGTTTACCCTATGGTTCCACCCCCTCCAAGAGTTGCATAGTTTCTGATCTAGTTCCTAGGTCTTTGATCCATTTTGAGTTGAATTTTCTGCAGAGAGAGAGATAAGGGTCTAGTCTCATTCTTCTACATATGGATAACCAGTTTTCCCAGCACCATTTGTTAAAAATTCTGTCTTGGGGCTGGGGCTCAGTGGTGGCGCACTTGCCTGGCATGTGTGGGGCACTGGGTTCAATTCTCAGCACCACATATATTTAAAAAAAAAAATCTATCAACAACTAATATATATATATATATATATATATATATATATATATATATATATATATTTAAATTCTGTCTTATCTCCAGGGTATGTTTTTAGCACTTTTGTCAATGACCAGATAACTCTAGATGTATGGTTTGTCTCTGTCTTCTGTATCTTTGGTCTGTATGTTTTCATACTAGTACTGTGCAGTTTTTGTTACTATTGCTCTGTAGTACAACTAAAAGTCAGATATCTTAATACCTCCAGCATTGCTTTGGCTATTCTGGGTTTTTTATTTTCCAAACAAATTTTAGGGGTTTTCCCCATCCCCACCCCTTTTTCAGTTCTGTGAAGAATTTTGTCAGTATTTTAAGGGGAATTTCATTGATTCTGTACATTGTTTTTAGTAGTATGGCCATTTTAACAATATTAATTCTGCCTCTCCGTGAACATAGAAATCTTTCCATCTTCTTGTGTAGTCTTCAATCAATTTTTTTCTTCAATGTTCTGTAGTTTTCATTGTAGAGGTTTGTCACCTTCTTGGTTAGAATTATTTCTAGTTTTTTGGTTGTTTCACTTTTTTGAGTGGGGTGGGGGGGTAGCCGGGAGGTACTGGAGATTCAACTCAGGGGCACTTGACCACTGAGCCACATCCCTAGCCCTATTTTGAATTTAGAGACAGGGTCTCACTGAGTTGCTTAGCACCTCTCTTTTGCTAAGGTTGGCTTTCAACTCAAGATCCTCCTGTCTCAGCATCTGGAACCACTGGGATTACATTAGAGAACTACTAGGATTATCTGCGTGAGCCTTCATGCCTGGCTGTGAGCCTTCATGCCTGGCTATTTTTTTTAAAGCTATTGTGAATGGAATAGTTTTCCTGACTTCTTTCTCAGCAGATTAATTATTGGTATATAGGAAAGCTATTGTTTTTTTTTTTTTTTAATGTTTTTTTCTTTTAGTTGTAGATGGACACAATACCTTTATTTTATTTGTTTACTTTTATGCGGTGCTGGGGATCGAACCCAGTGCCTCATGCATACTAGGCAAGCGCTCTACCACTGAGCCACAACCCCGGCCCTGAAAGCTATTGTTTTTTGAATGTTGATTTTGTAATCTGCTACTTTGCTGAATTTGTTTATTAGCCCTAGCAGTCTTTTGGAACACATCTCACTTCTGTGGTGTTTCCCCCCACCTTGAAATTTTTTTTGCAGTGTTATGGATCCAACCCAGGGCCTTGTTCTTGCTAGGTAAGCATTGCACCACCAAGATACAGCTCCAGCCCCTTTATTTCTGCTTCTTAAATATGACTCATCTGTCCATTTTCAAATTTCTTAAGGAAGATGAATCTTTGGGTTTTTTAACTTGAATTTTTCAGTGTAACATTTTCTGGTCTTAATTTAAAAAACAATATTTAAAAAAAACAGTATTTGGGGCTGGGGATATAGCTCAGATGATAGAGTGCTTGCCTCGCATGCACAAGGCCCTGGGTTCAAACCCCAGTACCACCGCCCCCCCCCCCAAAAAAAAACAGTATTTGTTTTTCTGGGAGTGAACCTAGGGCTTCACACATGGCATACGAGTTCTGCCACATCCGCAGCCTAGAAAATGTTAAATAAATGTTTAAAGTTAAAAATCTAAAGACTCAATTTTCCTACTATTCCAGACATTGTACAAATCACTTTATAGGCATTCCCTCATTTAATCTTTAATTTAATTAGCAATTTTTTGAGATAAAGTGATGTTTTGATTTTTTAAAAAAATAGCAAAAAGGAAGTTTAAAAAGGTAAGTAACTTGCCTCAAGTTGCAGAACTACTAAACAGGGACCTGTCTGATCCTAAAGCCGATAATCTTTAGCCAATTCATTGAATTTTCAGGCATGCAGTGCAGATTCTTATTTACTGCCTAGTTCCTCATTTAAATCTGACCCACATATATCTTCAGATTCCAGAGCAGCGATGGAGAAGTTAAGTACTTGCAGTTGGCAGAAGAGCTAATTCGTCCTGAGAGAAACACACTGGTTGTGAGTTTTGTGGACCTGGAGCAATTTAACCAACAACTTTCCACCACCATTCAAGAAGAGTTCTATAGGTATATTTTTTGTTAATCTTCATTACTTTGAATAGGGATAGAGCCTGGGAAGCCAGCTCCTTTTGGACTGGAAGTGTTCACTTTGAGGCAGAAAGGCAGCTGTCACAGTTATTTCTTTGCAAATAATAAAGGCAGTGCTCTGAACTTAATGTAGGCTTTTGTGGAGCTAATCTTTTTTTCGTGTTCATTTTGCTTTCTGTATAGTTTTTTAAATAGGAGAACTGTATTTACTTTTTTTTTCTTTTAATTGAGATGATTTGTCACTATGTTGCCCAGACTAGCCTTGAACTTCATGGTTCAAGCATTCTTGCCTCAGACTTCCAGAGCAGCTGGGACTATAGGCATGCACCATTGTGTCTGGCTTAAGGATATCTTTATAGTAATGAGGTTGTGCTTGTTCCCTTAATGTTTAATTTTTTTGGCTAAATCATCTGTATGTCTGTAATCCTCCCACTAATGAAAACCACCATTAGGATCTACTAAAACAAAGTTTCAAAGGCCTTCCAAGTCTGCAAGTGCAGAGTTTTGTTTAGAATCTCATTGTATTTTTTAATAATAATTATGTTTTTAGTCATAGATGACACGATACCTTTATTTTATGTGGTGCTGAGATCGAACCCAGTGCCTCACACGTACTAGGCAAGCACTCTGCCACTGAGCTACAGCCCCAAGAATCTTGTTGTATTTCGATGTCTTTAATAGTATTAACATTTTTTATGCCATATAAAATTCTTTGAAAACATTTAATGAGTGTGATATCTATTGGTAGAAATACTATGTTTAGACATTTATGTTTAGTAACTTAGGCTGACTTTTATATATATCACAGTTGGTAGAGTGCTTGTCTGGCATGCACAAGACCCTGGGTTCAATCCCCAGCACCACCACCAAAAAAAAAAAAATTGAGCAGGTCATGGTGGTAGATGCCTATAATCCTATTGACTCGGAAAGCTGATGTAAGATCTCAAATTTCAGGCAAGAATGGGCACTATAAGGAGATCCTGTCTTGACATAAAAAAAAAAAAAAAAAAAGGCTGGGGATATAGCTCATTGGTGGAGCACTTGCTGAGCAAGCACATGGCCCTGAATTCAATCCCATTACCACCAAGAAAAAGGGGCTGAGGAAATAAGCAGCATAGTTTGTTGTGAAAACATGCAGAGGAAAACTTGCATTGACAAGCGACAGAAAAATCAGATTGAAGTAGAAGCAGCTGTGCCATACCTTCTGTATAAGCCGTGCTTCAGTTTTCTCTCTTGAAAGGAGCTCTTTTTTCAGAGGGCTTTCAGAACTCACTACTTAAACAAACCAAGCTGCAACAGCCTTTGGGAACTCAGATCAAAAGACCCACTTCAGTTAAATAGAACGTTTCTGCCAGTTTGCTCTCACATCAGGACATAAATTCTTCCCTGTCTTCTTGCAACTTTATTAATCAAGAATGAAACCAACCTGGGTTCGATGGTGTACACCTGTAATCCCAGCAGCTCAGGAGACTGAGGCAGGAGGATCAAAAATTCAAAGCCAACCTCAGCAAGGGCGAGGCGCTAAGCAACTCAGTGAGACCCTGTCTCTAATTAAAATACAAAAAAAGAGCTGGGGATATGGCTCAGTGGTTGAGTGCTCTTAGTTCACTCCCCAGTACCCAATGCCCCCCCCCCCAAAAAAAAAAAAAAGGAAACCAAAAATATACTAGGACTTAGCACACCAAAAAGAATGCTGCTTTACTAGATTGTAAACAGACCAGAGAAAACTCACAGTATTGAGCATAAAACTGGCAGGGTGATTGTTTAGGTTGAGTCACCTTGGACAGAGAAGTGATCTGCAGTATGATTGCTGTATAATGAAAGACAATAGATAGTCAGGTACAGCATTTTATCTTTGATGTTTCTATTTATGGTGGGACAACAGAGGATTGAAAGAGGCTCCTAAACCCAAATTAAATAGAAGGTTCCTGCACAGGTAAGTTCCATGGCTTGATTGGGACCAGATGAAATTACTTAGCTGTAGGCAAGCATGAAAAGGGAAAGACGCCTTGCGGGTAGGACTCTAAAATGTCAGTTGTCTTTGTTTTTTTTTTTTTTTTCCCCAGAGTCTACCCTTACTTGTGTCGGGCCTTGAAAACCTTTGTCAAAGACCGAAAAGAGATCCCTCTTGCCAAGGATTTTTATGTTGCCTTCCAGGACCTTCCTACTAGACACAAGTAAGAAACCCTTTGGAAGAAAAGGAATTTACCAGTAGTGTACATGACAGTAATCAGTTAGAAAAGTTGGGAGATTGCCTAAATCTGCTGTTAGTTGGCTTAATGTCACATGAATCACTCTTACTTTGCTAAGCCTCATTTTTCTCATCTATAAAGTCTTTTGGCTTAGGTTTTCTACCAAATCATGCAAAAAGATGGATTTGTTGCTGTAACATTTTTTACACCTAGTGGTGACAAGAATTGTTATAGAGAGTATTTATAAATTGCTATAGTACCAGGAGGATACTGGGATGTTAGTAGATCACATGCCTAGTATATGCCAAGACCCTGGGTTTGATCCCCAGCCCCATGTATATACATATATACATACAAACATAAATAAATATAATACCAGGAAGGAAAAAAGTTTTTCATACACATTTTGTAGAAAGTTGGCTTTTAAAAGAGTTCTGTCCAGTTACCCTGAAAGTTTAGTGTTGGAGAAACATGTTTTTCTTTAGAGATGGCATAGGAAGTAAGTGAAGTGAACCAAATGCTTAAGATTGTCACATTTTTAGGGCACCATTTAGGGAATTTGGGAGAAAAGATTGGTCAAGTGATAAAAATGCGAAAACTCAGAACAATTGCAGAAGTGCATGAATCTTACAACACTCTAAAGCTTAAATTCATAACTTTCAACCATCCCTTTAGTGGTTACTTAAAGAAGAAATTTACTGGAAGAAGCTGAAGTGATATGTTTTGAGAACTTAATTTCTCAAAATCACTTAAAAATTACCACATTATTTCACGTAAAATGAATTTGTAAGGTAAAGGAAGTGTTTTGAACTTCTAAGTATAAACTATTTTCCCATGATAACTTTGTTATGAAAATATACTTTTTTTTCTTTTTAGCAAATTGTAGGTAAGCAAAAGATGGGTTTGCATATAAAACAATGGGATCATTCTGTTTTACAATTTTTAATTTTTATTTATTTAGTTTTTCATATTCATTTATATATTTTCATGAATTTGTGTATATTATATAATTTAGGAATGGGCATGTTCACTAAATTATTTGTCGTTTGATGTTTCCTGAGAAGGATAATTTATCATTGGATACTTTCATTAAAATAAAAAATTGGGGGATTTCCCATACGGAGAAGTTGAGCCAGGCCCAATGGCACATATCTTTAATCCCACTGGCTCACAGGTGGAGGAGGCAGGAGAATTACAAGTTCAAAGCCAGCCTTAGTAACTTAGCGAGGCCGTGTCTCAAAAAAAAAAAAAAAAACAGGCTGGGGATGTGGTTCAGTGGTTAAGTACCCTGGGTTCAAGCCCTAGTATAGGGAAAAAAAATGTAATTGAGAAGTAGGTATTTATTAATGAAACACTTATCTTTAAACAGAATTCGAGAACTCACTTCATCCAGAATTGGTTTGCTCACTCGAATCAGTGGGCAGGTGGTGCGGACTCACCCAGTTCACCCAGAGCTTGTGAGCGGAACTTTCTTGTGCTTGGACTGTCAGACAGTGATCAAAGACGTAGAACAGCAGTTCAAATACACACAGCCAAATATCTGCCGAAATCCAGTTTGTGCCAACAGAAGGAGATTCTTGCTGGATACAAATAAATCAAGATTTGTTGATTTTCAGAAGGTATTTATTTACTTGTGTTTAGACTGGATTCAGTCTATGCTATTTAGTAATTCACTCTGGGGCCCTTGAAATAGCTTATTTGTAGTAAGAGTGACTTCAAGGGGCTGGGATTGTGGCTCAGTGGTAGAACGCTTGCCTAGCATGCATGAGGCACTGGGTTCGATCAGAACCACATAAATGTAAAATAAAGATATTGTGTCCATCTAAAACTGAAAAATAAATGTTAAAAAAAAAAAAGTGACTTCAAATTTAAGCCCCAAACTCTTAATGTAAATTTTAATTGTCAGTATACAATTGTGTTTTAAGGGCTGGGGATGTGGCTCAAGCGGTACCGCGCTCGCCTGGCATGCGTGCGGCCTGGGTTCGATCCTCAGCACCACATACAAACAAAGATGTTGTGTCCGCCGAAAACTAAAAAATAAATATTAAAAAATTCTCTCTTCTCTCTTTTTTTAAAAAAAAAAAATTGTTTTAAAGTTTAATGACTTAGATTAGAAGTTCCTTCAGATTGTGACAAAATTTGTCAAAAAATAACCAATAACTATTATTATAAGCTGCATTTAAGAAAGCTTTGGAGGTAGCAACTTGTTAGTATAAAACTTTGAATTTGGTGGATAGAAAGGGTGAAAGCCTGAGTGAAAATTCAGCAGACTAGCATGGAAGCGGTGAGGATTATCATGATTGTAGGAGAAGAGCTGGGTTGGAGATGATCTGAGAGATGATTTGATACGAGGCCTGAAGATACTTAGATTTTTACATTTTAGACTGAGAAGTTTAGGTCTGTGTTGTTAGGGATTGAAGCCAGTGCCTTGCACATGATAGGCAAGTGTTGTACCATTGAATTAGGTCCCTATCCCCTAGGTCTATCCTTTTTTTTTTTTAATATCTTTAATTATTCATTTTTATGTGGTGCTGAGGATAGAACCCAGGGTCTCACACCTGTGAGGCAAGTGCTTTACCACTTAGCTACAGTCTCAGCCCTCCCCTAGGTCTATCTTGATAAGCAGTGTGAACATATTTTGTTGTGGATGTGGGGGAAGGTATGTGTTTGGGGTGATTTTTTTTGTTTGTTTTTTTACATGGACACAATATCTTTGTTTTTTGTTTGTTTGTTTGTTTGATGTGGTGTTGAGGATTGAACCCAGTGCCTCACATATGAGGCAAGCGCTTTGCCACTGAGCCACAACCCCAGCCCTGTGTTTTTGGTTTCTTAAGGAAGCTTAATGGGACAGTGGTATATGGTATTTAACAGAAACTAGTAGATAGTTGTCTGGGTAAGAGGTGATGGATGATAATAAGAATGAAGACAAATTAAAATCTCAGCAGCGTTTATGCAATATGGAATATGAAAAAAAAGTTACAGCAGCTCAAGAATGGAGAATGGGGCTGGAGATGTGGCTCAAGTGGTAATGCGCTCACCTGGCATGCGCGGGGCGCTGGGTTCGATCCTCAGCACCACATAAAATAAAATAAAGATGTTGTGTCCACTGAAAACTGAAAAATAAATATTAAAAAATATTCTCTCTCTTTCTCCCCCCCCCCTAAAAAAAAAAAAAAAAGAATGGAGAATGATCAGAGTAAAATAATTAATAATAAGGGTTTTTTTGTTTGTTTATTCAATTAGTTTTTAGTCCTTAGTTTTCTTATGTTAACCTGAAAGTTTATAAGAAGCATATGTTCTACATCAGCTTTGGGTAAGAGGTGCTTTATAGTTTTCAAAGATGATATAACAATCAAAGTATGAATCTAGGTTGGGTGTTGGTTTGCGGGGTGGGGGGAACCTCAACTGTAATACAGGATATTTTGATAATTGGAAACAATTGAAGATGGACTAGATAAGAGGAGATAGTATGTAATTTTATGGAATTGAGTACTATTAATTCTCTGGGTTGTGTTAATGGTAGTATGGCTATATAGGAGATTGTCTTTATTCTCAGAGATGAATGCTAAAATATTTAGCCTTGAAGTTATTTGATGTTTATAACTTTCAAATATTATAATTGAAAATATGTATAGCTACATAGGTAATGTTGACAATCAACGGGTTGAAGTAGAGGATATAAAAGTATGTTGGAACATGCTTATAATCCCAGTGACTCAGGAGGCTGATGCAGGAGAAGCACAAACTTGAGGCCAGCCTCAGCAAATTTATTGAGGCCCTAATAATCAACTTAGTGAGAAGAGCTAGTAATGTGGCTCAGTGGTTGAGCACCCCTGGGTTCAATCCCTGCTACCAAAAATAGAAGTATATTGGAAAGTTTTTATAAAATTCCTTTGCAAAGTTTTAGGGAGAAGATGAATCAGAACAGAGTCGGGGGGCGCATCGTATTGGATATTGAATCTGGGCGTGCTCTACCACTCATATACATCCCCAGCCCTTTTTATTTTTTCATTTTTTTGAGACAGGATCTTGCTAAGATGCTGAGGTGGGCTTCCCAATTTGGAATTCTCCTGTCATGGCTTCCTGAGTAGCTAGTATTAACAGGCATGTACCACTGCATGCATCTGATAGTCATTTTGAACAAGGAAATTTTGAGGGTGATTGAACTCGGGGCACCCAACCACTGAGCCACATCCCCAGCCCTATTTTGTGTTTTATTTAGAGACAGGGTCTCACTGAGATGCTTAGTGCCTTGCCCTTGTTTAAAGTGCTGGGGTTGAACCCAGGGCCTTGTGCATGCAAGGCAGGTGCTTTACCAACTGAAGAAAATCCCCAGCCTTTTTATTTTTAAAATATCTCTGTAGTTGTAGATGGACACTAATACTCTTTTTTTTTTTTTTTTAATGTGGTGCTGAGGATCAAACCCAGTGCTTCACACATGCTAGGCAAGCACTCTACCACTGAGCTACAAATTCAGCCCCTAAATATTTGTCTTTCAAGGAATTTTTAGTAGGGGTAATCCAAAGAATTTTAGGGTAGAGTTTTTGGTTTTGGTTTCTTTGTGTTTGGATAGAGAATTTTAAAGTGAAAGTTGGGACATGTCAAAAGTCCACAAAGAGTAAGATCATTTAGAATTCTGTCAGTGTTTGTGTCATTAACTTTAGATTACATGGTGTATGAAAGGGATCTCTTCTCATTCTTGGCTGTTTACTTTTGTTATAGGTTCGTATTCAGGAGACTCAAGCTGAGCTTCCCCGAGGAAGTATCCCCCGCAGTTTAGAAGTAATCTTGAGGGCTGAAGCTGTGGAGTCAGCTCAAGCTGGTGACAAATGTGACTTTACGGGGACACTGATTGTCGTGCCTGATGTCTCCAAGCTTAGCACACCAGGTGGTAATCTATGGCTCAAATTTAACAAATTCTTGGTTACCTGAACTGCAAGGTATTCAACTTCTCTTCTTTTTGGCTGCCAATCAAAGGAGAAACAAAAAAGTGTGATGAGAATAAAAAATTGATTTTCCTACAATATTGGCTATTCTGAATGTTTCCAAAGTTTATAAGGAAATCATATTTATATCTGATTTATATGAGCAGTATTAGTTCCCAGCACCTATAGTATTTGAAATGGCCTATCATTTAATCTTTCAGGAGCACGTGCAGAAACGAATTCCCGTGTCAGTGGTGTTGATGGATATGAGACAGAAGGCATTCGAGGGCTCCGGGCCCTTGGTGTTAGGGACCTGTCTTATAGGCTGGTCTTTCTTGCCTGTTTTGTTGCACCAACTAACCCAAGGGTGAGTCTTTTTTTGCATGCTGGAGATTGAACCCAGGGTCTTGCTAGGCAAATGCTCTTAACACTGAGCTACATCCCTCATGGTGAATCTTAATAAAATGCCAGAGCTTGACAAACAGCTCGCTTGAGGCTGCTGCAATTTAATATGCTTCTAAAACATCTGAGTTATCTAGTCAGTATAAAAGTCTAAAGGGTTGGGTTGATGTTGATTCTTCAGTATTAAAACCAAATCTTTTCAGGGCTGGGGATGTGGCTCAAGCGGTAACACGCTCGCCTGGCATGCGCTGGGTGCTGGGTTCGATCCTCAGCACCACATAAAAATAAAATAAAGATGTTGTGTCCATCGAAAACTGAAAAATAAATATTAAAAAAAATCTTTTCATGTCTTTCTGACCTTGAGGAGAAGCCTTATTGTTTTCATACATTTTGAGGGTAATGGCATGTATTATCCATGTTTTTTATTTTGTGTAAGTATTATAGTTCCTCTGACATGCTCTGTGGAGAACGTACTGATAAAAAGACTTAGTAACCTGGGAAGTAAAGTAAATTGCTATTTCTGAGAGTGGTGGATTTCTGGCAGTATTATTTAGTTAATTCTGTGTCTTGAAATGGAAACGGGTTTGGGAAAAATAGTCCAATCCAAAAAAGAATAGGAAAATAGTACTGAAAAAGAAAAAAGAACATAATATTCTTTGATTTTGTTTTCTTTTTCATATCAGAGATTAACATTCAACTATGTCTCATCTCTTGAGCATCCAGATACATTTATAGAGGGCTATAAAACAATTGTGGTAGCTTTTTTTGTTTCGACTCACTTGACAAATGTCAACCTTAAGTAGTTTCATTAACTGAAGCTTACTAGTTAGGGAGTTTTTGTTTTGGGGGTGTTTTGTGCTGCTGGGGATAAAACCTCATACTTGGTAAGTACTCCACTGCTGAGCTATATCCTAGCTTTATTTAATTTTAATTCTTGGGCTGTCCTCCAATTTGCAATCCTCCTGCCTCAGCCTCCCAAATAGCTGGGATTACAGATGTGTGCCACCGTGCCCACCTTGATTTTTGCTTTTTTTTTTTTTTCTTCAAACCTTTCTATTTGATAAATTGTGAATTTGACCTTCTGAGCTATATTTTGCTTGTAGTAGTTTGTTTTCCTTTTCATTGTTTTGGCCACTTCTATACTAATATATTTTCCTTTTTTTCTCCACCTTAGTTTGGAGGGAAAGAGCTCAGAGATGAGGAACAGACAGCTGAGAGTATTAAGAACCAAATGACTGTGAAAGAGTGGGAGAAAGTGTTTGAAATGAGTCAAGATAAAAATCTATATCACAATCTTTGTACCAGCTTGTTTCCTACTATACATGGTAAGAGTTATATCTATTTGTGCACAAACTTGAAATCTAACTAATTATTACAAAGAGCAGCATTTAATTTTTTAAAGTACATAGATCAGAAGATAAAGGTTTCTAGTGGGCTTAGAACGGGTTATTTACAAAAGGACAAATACAATTTCACTACGCAAGGTCTAGACATTCTAGAAGTAGGCAAATTCATAGAGACAAAGTGGAATAGAAATTATCAGGGGCTGGGGGCACGTGGGAAATGAAGAGTTTTTCAAAGAACAGAGTTTCTATTTGGGATCATGAAAAAAATTCTGGAAAGGGGTAGCAGTAAGTTATTCAAATAAAGTATTTAATGCCGGGCTGGGGATGTGGCTCAAGTGGTAGCGTGCTCGCCTGGCATGCGTGCTGCCCGAGTTCGATCCTCAGCACCACATACAAAGATGTTGTGTCTGCCGAAAACTAAAAAATAAATATTAAAATTCTCTCAAAAAAAATAAAATAAACATGTATTAAAAAAAGTATGTAATGCCCTTGAACTATATACTTAAGTGGTTACAATGGTAAATTTTATGTTATGTATATTTTGCCACAATTTTAAAAGAAAATCAATTTTTTCTGGCCTTATGGCCAAACTGCTATATTCCAATACACTAAACTAATCTGGGCTTGCTTTACTAAAATTTTCATACATTTCATGATGCTTTTGGTTACTTGTATTATCTATGCTTTTGGCAGTTTTCTTTTGTGTTTTTCTGACTCTTAATTGCTAGCTGTCACCGTTAGTCATTATATCCCCTTCTTGTGTTGAAGGACATGAATAAATTTGGGGGCCTGAAGTTTTACCCTTGAATTAGTCTATCCCTGCCTTCCATATAAAGTTGGGGTTATGTAAAGAACTGCTGAAATTATGGGTATTTCTCTTAGGTATAGGTGTAACCTTTTTTTTTTTTTTCTTTTCCTGTTTGATCAGTGGAACAACTGAACCCTTTTATGTTAATTCTTCATGGATTTTAGAGTATCCTCTCAAATGGAGTGGGTGTCACCATTTTTGTGTTTTCTCCCTTCCTCCCATAAGTAATCTCTTGTTATAAAACTCAAATTTAGTGAGTTAAAACAGTACTGGTTCATGGTTCAAGAATCTGGGAGCACCTTAGCTGGGTGATGCTACTTCAGGGTCTTTCATCATGAGGTTGCAGTTAAGATGTCAGCAGGTGGGCTGGGGATGTAGCTCAGTTGGTAGAGTGCTTGCCTTACATGCACAAGACCCTGGGTTCAATCCTCAGCACCACCAAAAAAAAAAAGGATGTCAGCAGGGCCTGTAATCATTGACTAGGGCTGGAGGTGCCACTTAACAAGGGGGCTCACTCAGATGACTTCCAGTTAATGCTAATTGTTAACTGGCCATGTCAGTTCCTTCCCATATGAATCTTCCCAGTAGGGCTGTTTTGATTATCTTCACAGCACAGCAGCTTGCTTCTTCCAGAGCACATGGTCCAAGAGAGTAAAGCAAGGAGGAAGCAAAATGCCATCAAAGACCTAGCCTCAGAAGTTCCAGACTTTTACTTCCACCATAAGAATTTGTTAAAATGAAGTCACTAAGTCCATCCCCCACTCAGAGGAAGGTGAATTGGATTCCATCTCTTATAATGAGGTGTGTCAAAGAATTTGTGATGTGTTTAAAACCACCACACCCTCAACACATTTTCTTCCATATAAGTCACAGAAGTAAGTTCATGGAATGGATTTTCCCCCCTGTACTGGGAATTGAAATCACCTACAGATGCACCCCAGCCCTGATCATGGTCCCCAAGGACTCACTAAATTGTGAGGCTCCACTCAACTTTCTTCCTGGGATTATAGGTGTGAACCACAGTGCCCAGCCTGGGGGATGGATTTTTAATTTTCTATTTTTATGGAATGATTTATGCAAATTTGCATAGCATTTAATTGGTGGAGTTCAAGTTTAGAAGTGGTTGAAAATTATACTCAGCATCTTATTTACTCCCTATTAGTTCATTACTGTATATAGGTGATGATAAAAGTAATGTCTTAAAACTCTTGATGGACTGATCGCATTTCTTCCATGAAGTGTCCAGTTCCTTTGCCCATTTATTGATTGGGTTTTTTGGGGGTTTTAGTGTTTTTTTGAGTTCTTTATATATCCTAGAGATTTAATAGTCTTAAGTTCAGGTGGCAAAATTTTTTTCCCATTCTGTAGGCTCTCTTCACGGTCTTGCTTCCTTTGCTGTGAAGAAGCTTTTTAGTTCGATATCATCTCATTTATTGATTCCTGTTTTTACTTTTTGTGCTTTAAGTGTCTTGTTGAGGAATTCAGTTCCCAAGACAACATGATGGAGATTTGGGCCTACTTTTTCTTCTAGTAGGGTGCAGGGTCTCTGGTCTAATGCCTAAGTCCTTGATCCACTTTGAATTTTGTGCAGGGTGAGAGATAGGGGTCTAATTTTATTTTGTTACATATGGATTTCCAGTTTTCCCAGCACCATTTGTTGAAGAGGCTATCTTTTCTCCAATGCTTATTTATAGCATCTTTGTCTAGTATGAGATAACTGTATTTATGTGAGTTTGTCTCTGTGTCTTCTATTCTGTACCATTAGTTTTCATGTCTGTTTTGGTACCAATACATGCTATTTTTGTTACTATAGCTTTGTAGTGTAATTTAAATTCTGGTATTTTGATGTCTCCTGCCTCACTTTTCTGAGAGCATTGCTTTGATTATTCTGGCCTCTTGTTTTTCCAAATGAATTTCATGACTGCTTTTCTATTTCTATGAATAAATCATTAGAACCTTAATAGGAATTGCATTAAATTGTATAGTTTTTGGTAGTGTGGCCATTTTGACAATATTAATTCTGCTTATCCAAGAACATGGGAGATTTCTTTCTTTAGTGTTTCGTAGTTTTCATTGTAGAGGTCTTTCGCCTCTCTCATTAGATTGATTTCCCATTATTTATTTATTTTTTATTTTTTTGAGGCTATTGTGAATGGGAAAATTTTCCTAATTTCTCTTTGAGTGGATTCTTCACTGATGTATAGGAATGCAGTTGATTTTGGGGGGTGTAAATTTTATATCCTGCTACGTTGCTGAATTCATTTATGAGTTCTAGAAGTTTTCTGGAGTTTTGGGGGTCTTCTAAATATATGAAAACATGTTCAACATCACTAGCAATTAGAGAAATGCAAATTAAAACTACACTGAGATTTCATCTCACTCTAGTCAGAATGGCAACTATCTAGAATACAAGTAACAGTAAATGTTAGTGAAGATGTGGGGAAAAAGGTACACTCATAAAGTGCTGGTGGGATTGCAAATTGATGCGACCACTCTGGAAAGCAGTATGGAGATTCCTCAGAAAACTTGGAAAGGAACCATCATTTGACCCAGTTGTTTCACTCCTCAGCATATACCCAAAGGACTTAAAATCAGCTTACTACAGTGACGCAGCCACATCGTTTATAGCAGCTCAGTTCACAATAGCTAAGCTATGGAACCATCATAGGTGCTCTTCTATTACTCAGCCATAAAGAAAAATGAAATTGTGACATTTGCTGGTAAATGAATGGAACTGTAGACTATCATGCTAAGTGATAAGCCAGACCCAAAAAATCAAAGACCAAATTTTCTCTCTGATATGCGGGTGCTAACTTACAATAGGTGGAAGGGGTGGGGTGGACAGGGAGGAATGGGGGGAAGAAAGGAGGGATGGGAATAGGAAAGTAGAATGACTCAGACATTACTTTCCTTTGTTCATATATGAATACAAGACCATTATAACTCCACATTATGTACAACCACAAGAATGGGTGGGAAGTTATACTCCATGCATGTATGATATGTCAAAATACTTTCTACTGTCACGTATAACTAATAAGAACAAATGAAAAATTAACAAAACCTCCTAATGGAACTGGAGAGCTCCCATTAGAAAGAAACAACAAATGGACTGGAGGTGTATCTCAGTGGTCGAGTGCTTGCTCAGCATGCACAAGGCTCTGGGTTTAATCCCTAGCACCACCAAAAAACAATTAGTAAATGTGATGGACATAGTTCGTTTGTGGATACAGATCTTTAAGGGTTAAGAGATAGGAAAGGCTCTTAGGATTGTGAGCAGGGGCACCTAAGACATTATGAGAAGATATTGGAACAATTGGCTAGATAAGTCCACAGAGCAAGAACCAAGATCAGAAGCCAGGTAGTTTTACCTGTTTTGCTTAACATCGGGTGTTTCTGCCCTTTGGTTGGTAAATGCTTTTAGTTTTCTTTAGAATATTTGCCTTTATGTCAAAAAATGAATTTTTTATCTAACTACTTTTCATTTTAGGCAATGATGAAGTAAAACGTGGTGTCCTGCTGATGCTTTTTGGTGGTGTTCCAAAGACTACAGGAGAAGGGACCTCTCTTCGAGGGGACATAAATGTCTGCATTGTTGGTGATCCAAGCACAGCCAAGAGCCAATTTCTGAAGTAAGTTTTGCCTGAAGTAGTACAGGAAAAACTTCATGTAGTTCCAGCCTTACTGTGCTACCAAGAATACAATCAGTATGAATATGATGAGTGTAAATTATGACTCTTGCATATATAACACTCATAAATTAAATACTATTAAATTAATTTTTTAAATAGGCTATAATATTTTATAGTTTTTTGAAATATGGAAAAATTGCCTATAATCCTACATAGAACTCTTAATCTTTCTATATTTTTGTATAAATGATCTTTGTATAAACTTTTTTAATATGTAAATTTATATTTATGTATATGAGTGGTTTATCCATTGTATTTTGTTTACTCATTCACTGGTGGACATTTCAGTTTTGTCTACCCTCTGGCTATTGTAAATAATGCTTCAGTGAAAGTTGGTATACAGAGTATCTGAGTCTCTGCTTTTAGTTGTTCAGGTAGTTTTAGCTTTTAAATTTAAGTCTTCACTTTATTTTTTTATTTCTTTTTTGGTGGAGCAGGGGATTGAACCCAGGAACTTGTGCATGCTAGGCAAGCACTCTACCAACTGAGCTTTATCTCCAGCCCCAGGTCTTTACATTTTGAATTGATTTTTATATAAGGTATAATGATGTCCAATTTTTTTCTTTTATATACATAGATATCCAGTTGTTCTAACACCAAGACTGTTCTTTCCCTGTTGAATTGTTTTGGCAATCTTAACAGAAAATCAACTAACCATAAATGTAAAATCTGTTTCATTTATAGTCCATTAATTTCTCTAAGGCCAATGCTATGCTGTTTTGACTACAGCATCTTGGTTATAAGTTGTGAAATTGGGAAGTGTGACTTTTCCAATTCTGTTCTTTTTCTAGGTTGTTTTAGCTTATTCTGGGGCTTCTGAGTTTCCACATGAATTTTAGGATCAGCCTCTCAGTTTCTACAGAGAAGCCAACTGGGATCCTGGTAGTAATTACTACCAGGCAATGATGAAGTAAAACAGGGTGCCCTGCTAATGCTTTTTTTGGTGGTGTTCCACCAAATTGAATTCATAGATCAACTGAAAGTGCACTGCGGGTTGGGCATGGTGGCACATGCCTGTAATCGCAGCATCAGGAGTCTGACGCAGGAGGATTGCAAGTTCAAAGCCAGCCTCAGCAAAAGCAAGGTGCTAAACAACTCAATGAGACCCTGTCTCTAAATAAAATGCAAAATAGGACTGGGGATGTGGCTCAGTAGTTGAGTGCCACTGAGTTCAATCCCCAGTGCCCACCTCCCCCAAAATGCACTGGGATGGGGTGAGGTGGCTACTGGGAATTGAACCCAGACCACTCTATTATTGAGCTATGTCCCCCAAGTGTCCCCTCTCCTTTTTTTTTTTTTTTTTTTAATTATTGTTAATCTTGAGACAGGATCTTGCTGAATTGCTGAGATTGACCTCAAACCTGCAATTCTCCTGCCTGACCCTCTTGAGTAGTTGGGATTACAGGCATACACTACTCCAGCTGTACTATATTAACATTTCAACAACTTTAAGTCCAATTCATGAATATGGAATATCTATTAACAATACTTTTTAGTATTCAGAGTGGAAGTTTGCACTTTCATTGAATTTATTCCAAAGTAGTTTTTCTTCTTGATGCCATTAGAAATAAAAATTATTTTATTTTGGGTCTTTCACTGCAAGTTCAGAGAAGATTAGTGGTGGTGGTGATGGTGGTGGTTGATTTTGTTTGCCAGGGATTGAACTCAAAGGCACTTAACCACTGAGCCACGCCCCCAGCCCATTTTATTTTTTGAGACAGGGTCTCACTAGGTTGCTTACAGCCCTATTAAGTTGCTGAGGCTGGCTTCAAACTTGCAATCCTCCTGCCTCAGCCTTCCAAGCTGCTGGGATTACAGATGTGAGCCACCGTGCCTGGCCTACAATTGATTTTTGATATTTGCACCCTTGCTGAACTCATCCTGTTTTTAGTAAATTCCATGGGATTTCATATGTACAAGATCATATATCTACAAAATAATGATGAGTGAAAAATTTCTCCTTTCCAGTATTTCTCCAGTATTTCTCCTTTCCTTTTTTCTTGCCTAATTTCCCTTGCTAGATTCTTTATTATAATGTTAAATAGAAGTGACGTAGAAGTAGACATCTTTGTCTGAGATCTTATTCCTTACCTTAGGCCAAAGCAGTCAGCCTTTAGCCTTTAAACATAATGTTAACTGTGGGGTTTTATAGATGCTGTTTATCAGATTAAAGAAAAATCCTTTAACAGGTTTAGGGCATAGCGTATTGGTTTTCAGTTGTTAAAGTAATTGAACTTCTGGAATAAATCTCACATCTAGTTTTGTCTTGTATTTTGTTTTTATTGCAAATCTTCTAATAGAACATTGTTGCCAAATTGTCAAAACTTTTTTATTTTCCATTTCACAGGATTGGTTTTAAATGCATTTAAAAAGTCAAAGAATATAAGGTTTCCCATTCAGTTTGTGGCGTGTCTTTTTTTTTTTGGGGGGGGGGTACTGGGGATTAGACTTAAACCCAGGGATGCTTAACCACTGACATACATCCCCACCACTTTATTTTTCATTTTGAGAAGGGGTCTCACTAAATTGCAAGGCTGGCTTCAAACTGAGGCTTCCTGTCTCATCTTTCCAAGTTGCTGGGATTATAGGCATAAGCAACTGTGATATGTCTTTATGAATTGCTTAAGCTTACTGCAACTCTCAGATGTTTTTCATTGACATAACCTGTCAGCTGATTTTCCTAGAAAGGGAATGTATGTGTAGTCACATTCTAATGAGTCTTTATATGATAACCTTGAACAGGCATGTGGAGGAGTTCAGCCCCAGAGCTGTCTACACCAGTGGCAAAGCATCCAGTGCTGCTGGCTTAACAGCAGCTGTTGTGAGAGATGAAGAATCTCATGAGTTTGTCATTGAGGCTGGAGCGTTGATGCTGGCTGATAATGTAAGATTGTTTTTTTTACTCTTGTGTATAAAGAAGTCAGATTACCTCCTTATCCTATCAGTAAGGACTTATAGTTTCTAGTAAAATAGATATCCTTTTAAAAAGTATTTTTAACATGTAGGTCAGTTAATTAATCTAGAATTAATTGGGATTATTTTCATTAATCAACACTTTCAAAGCTTTCCTAGAATGTGATAACCTGCTCTGAACATGTGTGAATGCTGTGACTTGGCAGCTTTTTGTTTTTTTTCCTCCTCCTTTGCAGCTTGTGAGATCTTTATGAGTAGATCTCTACACAAGTGCATATTGCGTTTTATGTATATTTGACATTGATCTGTTAGATTTATGAATATGTGTAAATTGTAGCTATACATGTTTATATTCATTATATCCTACCTTCATTTTTCACTTCCCCAGCCTTAAAATCAATGCTGAGAGGGCCCTAGGGTGTATTGGTACCAAGGCTTACACAGTTTCACTGTTGCATAAAGTATCTTGATATTTTTAGGTTTGGTCTTATTTTTTTGGGTGAATCAAGTGTTTTGGTCCTTCAAGCTCTGGGATCTGTCTAAATTATTTTGCTTAAAAGAGGGAATTAAGAATGCTTATTTACCTACTTTCTACTTGTTTAGGAGAATGGAAAAGACTCTGGTAGCAAATTGTGAGCTGGTTATTTTACATGCACAAGGCAGATTCTTATGCTAGATCTGTTTGGTTATAGGGTGTGTGCTGTATTGATGAATTTGATAAGATGGATGTGCGGGACCAAGTTGCTATTCATGAAGCTATGGAACAGCAAACCATATCCATCACTAAAGCAGGAGTGAAGGTATGTGTGTCCACTTCTGTTCCACTGCATCATTCCTTAACCCTGTAGATGAATGATAAAATTTAGTAATTCAACATGTAATGCTGTTTGTTAAAATGAAAAATAAAGTCCTGAGAACTAGTCATCCAAACTATAGATGTTGTTTAGGGTACTCTGTAAAAGTGTTGCTTTGACAGAAAGTAGAGGAAGTACTAGTAAAAAATTTTAGTGTTTCACTTCAAAATTTTTATGAACAAAGCTTGTATATTTGATTAAACCATGCTTTTAATTATAACAAAAATAACCATTGATTTCCAGTATCACCAATATAAAAAAAGATCAACACATTATTTAAATAACCAATTATAGAATCTAAACTTTTTTTTAAAAAAAGATAATTTTTATAAGTATTTTACTTGTGATATAATGTGTATGAAATGTAGGATTTTTTTTTTTTTTGAGAGAGAGAACTTTTAATATTTATTTTTTAGTTTTTGGTGGACATAACATCTTTGTTTGTACGCATGCCAAGCGAGCGCACTACCGCTTGAGCCACATCCCCAGCCCAGAATCTAAACTTTTTTAAAAGCAACAGTTTCAAGTAATTAAGAAAAAATTAAATAGTATACTAAATTACAAATTTAAAAAGAAGTCTTTCCCTGTAACTCCCAACACAATAGATATTCAGGAATGTATCAAGTATATCTCTTTCAGTAATATTTTATACATTAGTAAGCAAATACATGTAGTATTATTCCTTGCTCATTTAACTTTATAATTTTATTTTGACAGTATTTCTATACCAACGCATAGATCAACTTTATTTTTTATTTTATTTTAATAATTTAACCTTTATTTATTTTTTGTTGTTTATTTGTTTTCATGTGGTGCTGAGGATCAAACCCAGGGCCTCACCTGCCTTGGCAAGTGCTCTACCTCTGAGCCACAATCCCAGCCCTTGATTTATTATTATACTTTGGAATTCAGTTGATGGTACCATAGTTGGGTTCTTTACACTCTGGTAAAGTGACATGTAGGTCATGTTTAGACTTTTTTGTATGACAGACAATATTGTTGTAAACATCCTTGAATACAGCTTCTTGTATCTTGCTGTAAGATTATTGCTAACAAATTGCTGGCTTAAAGGATGTGCACATCACACCACCGGCAGAATGTAGGATGCCTGTTAGTTGCCCTGTCTTTTATCAGACTTTACTTTTTGATGATCTGATAAATAGAAAATGGTTGCTTATTATTTTGGCTTGCTTATTTAGTTACTTATGAGGGGGATTGGGCTTTTTGTTATGTTTGTTGGCTGTTTCAGGTTTCTTTGTAAATCTCACAATTCTTTCTTTTGTGGGCAGGCTACTCTAAATGCCAGGACATCCATTTTGGCAGCTGCAAACCCAATCAGTGGACACTATGACAGGTCAAAGTCATTGAAACAGAATATAAATCTGTCAGCTCCAATTATGTCCCGATTTGATCTCTTCTTTATCCTGGTGGACGAATGTAATGAGGTAACCATGAGCTCTTGCTCTTAGCTTCCATTTTTATTTCTAGTTTGAATAATTCAGTGAGACAAGGCTGAAAGATAGCTGCCCAACAGCTAGTGCATGCATGTGCATTGACCTTTCATTTTCCTCAGGGTGTCATGGGCTTAGACAAAGGATTTAGTAATAATTGCCTAAATATTAAGGTATATCAAGTTTTTTGGTTTGTTACTTCTTTAAAATTTTCACAAGAAAAAAATATATCACAGTTGACTCCCAAACCACAATAAGATTTCTATACAAATTTTTTGTTTCAGCTGGGTGCAGTGGCATATGTCTATAATCCTAGCAACTCAGGAGACTGATGAGGGAGGATCTCAAGGCCAGTCTTGGCAATTTAGCCAGACCCTGTCTCAAAATACAAAACATAAAGGGTTGGGGATATAGTAGCACTGGGTTTAACCCCCAGTACAAATATATATATATATGTAATTTTGTTTTATTGGTTGCTTTGATTTAATTTTTCAGTCACTTTAAAAATAACTGGGATGCTAAACAGATTTTCTTTTTCTAAATCATGAGTCATTTGTCTTCCTATTTCATTCCATCAACTTGTTAAATATATAATACTTTTGTCTATCTGATCATGTGATAGTTTAAGATTGAGTGAAATCCCTAGCACTCCCTCACAAAATTGAGTGAAAAATTCTAGACTTATTTGCACTGAGACTTAAATATTAACATTTAACATCTCAGAAGTGCACAAGTACAATATGTAGGAGCTATTATTAGAAGTTGTGCTTTTAATTGCTGAGCATGGAGGTCTTCCATTTCATTGAGCACATTGTATAATTCTTGATTCCAGTGGAACTTCAGAAATTATCTTTAATAAAATTTCATCATGTGAATGTTTAGAGGGCTTTTTTTTTTTTTCTTCACAAATGTATAGGTATATATAACCCTCAGATAATCAGGACTTGTTTCATTTTCATATATTTCTGTTTGTGCATGACTTATTAAATGAGTTTTGGGAACAGGGGAGATCAAGTTATAAGCCTTTAAACATTTTCGTTAGAAATAATTTAAAGCTTATAGAATTGTAAGAAATAGTTTCCTCAGAAACTTGTTATGCGGGCTGGGGTTGTGGCTCAGTGGTATAGTGCTCGCCTAACGTGTGAGGCACTGGGTTTGATTCTCAGCACCACATATAAATAAATAAATAAAATGAAGGTCCAATGACAACCAAAAAAATTTTTAAAAACTTGTTATATAATACTTAAGTGGCATATTAAAGGTTGTTTTTAGCTCTGAAATTCTTATTGCCTAGGATAATCTGGAGTAGATAATGCTGTGACTGACAAGTGATTTTCTTGTTTTGAATTAGGTTACAGATTATGCCATTGCCAGGCGTATAGTAGACTTGCATTCAAGAATTGAGGAATCAATTGATCGTGTCTATTCCCTTGATGATATCAGGAGGTATCTTCTCTTTGCAAGACAGTTTAAACCCAAGGTAACCTGCTCTTCTGTGCTGGGATAAAGCATAGAATGTATATTATTAAAGTGAGATTAAAGCAAGTGGGTTATGGAAATTAACTAAATCTGTACTTGTTTTTTACATTTAAGTTTGAAAAGGTTTTTTTTTTTTTTTTTAATATTTATTTTTTTAGGTGTAGATGGACACAACACAATGCCTTTATTTTTATGTGGTGCTGAGGATCGAACCTGAGTCCCGCCCATGCTAGGCGAGTGCTCTACCGCTGAGCCGAGCCACAATCCCAGCTCCGAAAAGTTTTTTCCTAACAGTAATTTGTTTCTTTTAAAAGGGGATTTTTTTTTTTTTTTTTTTTTTTTTTTGGTTAGGTGCTAATAAAAAGATTCTTACCAGAAAAGAGTTTTGGAAAACCAAATAACTGGATTCCTTTTATCACCAAGAATTTTTAAAATGTTTGCCTAAGAGTGCTTCCTTTGCGTGCACAGGCCCTGGGTTCAATCTCCAGCACCAAAAAAAGAAAAAAGGAAAAAAAAAAGAAAACACTGGATTCCTCTAGGCTATTATGATGAATATGAAATACTGTTATAGTAATAGATGTAGTTCTATTGGATTGAATCTGTACTGGATCAAAGACCCTATTATGCATTTGTTTTTAAAAAATAAAATCCATATATCAAAATGATACAAATAGGAAAGAAGTCAAACAATCCCCGTTTGCTAATGACATGATCCTATATCTAGAAAACCCACAAAACTCCAACAGAAGCTTATAAAATGAGTCTAGCAAGGTAGGAGGATACAAGATAAACACCCATAAATCATAGCTTTCTTATACTCCCAGTAGTGGTTCAGCTGAGGAAGAAATCAGGGAAACCATCCCATTTACAATAACCTCAAAACAAACCAACAAACAACAACAAAAAAACAAACTTGGGAATTAATCTAACCAAGGAGATAAAAGAACACAACAATGAAAATTATAGAACACTGAAGAAAGAAATTTGAAGAAGGTCTTAGAAAATGGAAAGACCTCCTATGTTCTTGGATAGATGGAATTAATATTGTCAAAAGAACCATATGGGGCCCAGGGTTGTGGTTCAGTGGTAGAGTGCTTACAGAGTACATGTGAGGCACTGGGTTTGATCCCAGCACCACATAAAAATTAACAAAATAAAGGTATTATGTCCATCTACAACTAAAAAATATTTTTTAAAAAAGAACCATATGACTAAAAGCAATATGCAGATTTAATACAGTCCCCATCCAAATGCCAATGAAATTCTCATTTGAAAAAAACAATTCTTAAATTTATGTGGAAGAATAAGAGACCTAGAATAGCCAAAGCAATACTTACTGAGCAAGAAAAGTGCTGCGGGAATCATTACATTACCTGATCTGAAATTATATTGAAGAGCTGTACTAACAAAAACAGCATAGTGTTAACAATAAAATAGACATGAAGACAAATGGAACAGAATAGAAAACACAAAGACAAACCCACATACTTAAAGCCATCTGATACTTGACAAAGGAACCAAAAATATATTTTGGAGAACATAGAGCCTTTTTAACAAATGGTGCTGGGAAAACTAAATAGCTATATGTAGGAAAATGAAACTAGATCTCTTTCTTACTCTGCATAAAAGTCAAATTGAAGTGGATCAAAGATTTGAACTAGATCAGAAACCTTGCAACTATTAAAAAGAGAACATAGGGGGGCTGGGGATGTGGCTCAAGCGGTAGCGCGCTTGCCTAGCATGCGTGTGGCCCGGGTTCGATCCTCAGCACCACATACAAAGATGTTGTGTCCGCCAAAAATTAAAAGATAAAAAAATATATATATTAAAAAAGAGAGAGAGAGAACATAGGTCAATACTCCATCATATAGGTGCTGGCACTAACTTTCTCAACAAAATTTCTGAAGTCAACAAATAAACCAAGAATCAGTAAGTGGGACATCATCAAATTAAAAAGCTTCTGCACAGTAAGGGAAAAAGAGTGTGAAGAGACAGCTTATAGAAAGAGAGAAAATCTTGGCCAGCTACTTTACTGATAGGGGATTCATATCCAGAATATATATAGAACTCAATACACATACACTCACGCACACACACTCATTCTCTAACCAAATTAATAAATGGGAAAAATAACTAAAGAAGAATCACACCTGTAATCCTATCAGCCTCAGGAGGCTGAGGCAGGAGGATCACAAGTTCAAAGCCAGCCTCAACAGTTTAGTGAGGGCCTGAACAATTTTACAAGACTCTGTCTCAAAAAAGGATTGGGTATGCGGCTCAGAGTAAGTGCCCTTGGGTTCAATCCCTAGTACCAAAAGAAAAAGAAACAAATAGGCAACAAATGCTCAGCATCCATAGCAATCATGGAAATAAATCAAAATGAAACTAAGATTTCATCTTATTCCAGTCAGAATGACAGTGATCATGAGGACAAATGCTGTGGGGGGATATACTTCCACATTTTTGGTGGGATGGCAGACAGGTACCACTTAAGCAGTGTGGGAATTCCTCAGAAAACTAAGAATGGAACCACCACATGACCCAGCTATCCCAGTCTTCGGTATTTTCCTAAAAGAACTAAAATCAGTATGCTATAGCAATACAGCCATCTCAGTTTTTATAGCAGCATAATTTACAATAGCTATATTATGGAATCAACCCAGTTGCCTATCAGTAGATGAATGGGACCCAGAATGTGGCTCAGTAGTCAAGTGCTTGCCTGGCATGTATAGGGTCCTGGGTTCAATTCCCAGCATCATAAAATAATAATAAAAATTAAAAATAGATACGTGGGTTAAGAAATTGTGGTATGCATACATAGATAGTTTTTCTTTCTTGTGGGAGTATCAAGGATTGAACCCAGAGGCACTTAATCACAGAGCCACAACACCAGCCATTATTTGAAACAGGGTCTATCTATTTAAGTTGCTTATTAGAGCCTTACTACGTTGCTGATATGGCTTTTTTTTTTTTTTTTTTTTTTTTTTTCTAAAAAGGGGGTGGGAGGGAAGGTTATGGCTTTTTTTTTTGTTTGTTTTTTAAGAGAGAATTTTTAATTTTTAGTTTTTGGTGGACACAACATCTTTTTTGTATGTGGTGCTGAGGATCGAACCCGGGCCACACACGTGACAGGCGGGCGCGCTACTGCTTGAGCCACACCCCCAGCCCCTGATATGGCTTTGAAGTCACAGTCCTCCTGCATTAGCTTCCAAAGCCACTTGGATTATAAGTGTCTGCCATTGCTCCAGGGCTATTTTATTTTTTGAGATGATCTCACTAACTTGCTTATGGCCTCAAACTTGCAATCCTCCTGCCTTAGCCTCCCAAGTCACTGGAATTACAGGTGTATACCTCTGTGTCTACCTTACACAATGAAATTCTACTCGGCCATAAAGAAGAATGAAATTGTGACATTTGCTGGTAAATGGATGGAAATGGAGGACATCATACTAAGTGAAATAAGCCAGACTCAAAAATCCAAAGGTCAAATGTTTTCTTATATGTGGAAGCTAGAGTAACATAAAGGAAAGGAGGAAGAAAGGATAACACATCAAGAAGATATAGGGAAGACAAGTAATGTAGAAGGAGATCAAAGTGAGAGAATGGAGGGATGGGAAAGGGGAGGCAATGCAGAATTAATTTTTTAAAAATCATGTGTGCATATAAATAGGCCACAGGGAATTTCACTTTATGCATAAGTAAAATGAACCAGTCAAATATAAATAGATGAGCTGGCCATAGTGGCACATGCCTGTAATCCCAGCAGCTTGGGGAGGTGGAGGCAGGAGGATCACTTGTTCAAAGCCAGCCTCAGCAATTTAGCGAGGCCCTAAACAACTCAGTGAGACCCTGTCTCTAAAAAAAATACAAAAAGGGCTGGGGTTGTGGCTCAGTGGTTAAGTGCCCTGAATTCAATCCCTGGTACTTAGAAGGAAAAAAATAAATAATTATAGATGAGCAAAAGGAAATCTAGCTGAGTAGAGGAAGGAGAGAGGATAGGATAGAAAATAGGGGAGCATGTATAATTTTTGTTGGGATGAACCCACCTACTGTGTATAACTGTAAAGCTCTAATAAAAATAAGCAAACCTTCACAATGTGCATCTCTTATTGTTGGCATTTTCCTACAGTAAACTATGAAAAGGAAACATTTTGTTTTATTCTAGTTGAGGTTTTTACACTTATCTGACTTTAGAGAATTCTCTTTAGCTGTTTATTGTCTGTTACCTTCACTTGATTATTCATGATATTGGGCTGCTCTTATTCTCCCAGAGGAAATTTAGTTGTGTAAAACAAAGGGTTATGAGTGACTTGTGTGTAAAAAGTATGTTTTCCATGACTGTATCTTGGTTCCTATGTGACCCTGGCACACTTCCTTAATATGCTGAGTTCTTGCTTTAAAAAACGATCTTTGGGTTGTAAATTTACTGAAATAGCCAATATATATTTATGTTGACTTCCTTTTTCCCCAAAACAGCATGAGTTAAGTAATTGAGCCTCAAGGTAATCTGAGCATTAATTTATTTAATGAGCTTTGACATCCAGAGATGTATAAGGTGTTACATCTTATTCTATTATAAACATCATTGAGAAATGGCCATTTGCTTAAATACTAAGTCTACTGTCTCCATGTTCTTAAAATTAGTATATGGAATTCAGAGGCCTCCTTGGCATTAGTTTCTGTAGTAATTCATTGTTGGTGACATCATTGCTGTTTTAAAACAGATTTCCAAAGAATCAGAGGACTTCATTGTGGAACAGTATAAACGTCTCCGCCAAAGGGATGGTTCTGGAGTAACCAAGTCTTCATGGAGGATTACAGTGCGTCAGCTGGAGAGCATGATCCGTCTCTCTGAAGCTATGGCTCGGATGCACTGCTGTGATGAGGTATGAGTCACTTTGACATGATGAAAATTGAAATTAATTTCTTGGCTTATAGGCATATTTCTATCTTTGGTATGGTTCATCCTAGAATTATTTGCAGATTTATTTTTATGTAACTGCTACACGCTTACAGGATACATGACCATGAAAATTTTTTCCCTTTAAGAAGGTTGCTATCAAGCATCTATTAAACTCGAGTGGTTATATCAATATTAATGAGATAATCACGGATAATAGTGAGCTACCATTTATTCAGGAAAAATGTATTTAGTCTCTACAGTGTGCTAGGACTCTGGGCTGAGGAAATAGGTATGATCATGTAATCTCTGGCCTCAAAAGAAATTCTTAGGTTTTTATAATATATGGGGATTGTTTTTCTTAGTTGGAGTTTTTTATTTTTTGGTACTGAGAGTTGAACTGGGCCTCATACATGCTAAACATGTACTTTACTACTGAGTTATATCCCCAGCCCTATGGTCTTTTAAGTCGTTATTTGATCCCTGGGTTCCATAGGAATATATTAGAGAGTGTTGAGAGGTAAAAAAAAATTTGTACCTTGGAAGGGTATTCAAGCCCCCCATCTCTGCTTCAGCTGAAGTAGCCTTTATTTAATTTTTTATATTAGGTTAGATGTAAGATTTTGTTTATCAAAGGGGCTTGGATTTATTAAAAGTATATATATATTACATAGAAGAAAATGTACACCTTGGTGATTTTTTTGTTTCCTTTTTTAATATACATTCTTAATGACTGCTTTGCTGAAGATAAAAAACATTTCTATTCACAAGTTCAAAGCCAGCCTCAGAAATTTAGCGAGACCTAAGCAACTTAATAAGACCCTGTCTCAGAATAAAATATACAAAGGGCTGGGGCTGGGCACAGTGGCACACACCTGTAATCCTGGCGGCTCTGGAGATTGAGGCAGGAGGATTGTGAGATCAAAGCCAGCCTCAGCAATGGTGAAGCGCTAAGCAAATCAGTGAGACCCTGTCCCTAAATAAAATACAAAAAGGGCTAGGGATGTGCTCAGTGGTTGAGTGCCCCTAAGTTTCAATTCTCAGTATCAAAAAAAAAAAAAAGAAAATCTATATTCCTGAAAGTTTCCTTATTTCCCTTTTCATGCTTAGCTTCCTCCACCCCCCAAATAATCATTTTTCAGACATTAGGCACTGTTTTTATCTCATAAATTGTTTTTCCTCCTTTTTTTTAGATTTTCTTGGGTTTGTTTGTTTGTTGGGGGGGGGGGGCGCACTAAGGATTGAACCCAGGAGCATTTCATTGCAGTATATCCCAAGTCCTTTTGGCTATTTTGATACATTTGCTGAGGGTCTCCTAAGTTGCTGAGGCTGGTCTCAGACATGCAATCCTCCTGCCTTGGCTTCCCATATCACTGGGATTATAGATGTGTACCACCATACTGAACTAAAGTTTTCAGATTTTCTGATGCATTATTTGACAAGGTACTTTTACACTAACTTACTTAATAGTCTTTGACTCACCAAATGTTTAATGTATACCTTTGTGAAATAAAATATGAATTGAGAGCCCTAACTAGTGGGAGTGAGATATGCATTTAATTAAACCTGTAAGGAATGAAGGAATATATATTTTTTGAGAGGAGAATGTTATGATAGAACATCACAAACAAGAGTACAGAAGTCAGAAATCAATTATTTTATTCCTCAAGAAGAGGAGAGTTTGTGGAGGTGCTAGTATTTAAGCCTCATCCCTGAAGAGAACAGAATTTCAAAATGAGTTCCAGAAAACTAATATGTGACTAGGCATGGTGTTGCATGCCTATAATTCCAGCAACTCCAAAGGCTGAGACAGGAGAATCACAAAATCTAGCCAGCTTGGGCAACTTTTTGAGACTCCATCTCAAAAGGGCTGGGGATGTGTGACTCGAGTGCCTCTGTATTCAATCCCCAGTACCATACATAAACACGCAAAAAAACTCATCTGTGTCTTAGGGCAATCTCTAATATAGTTATCATTTTTTAAAATTAGTCTTTATTTTATTTTTTATAGATGGGCACAACATATTTTATTATTTTATTTTTATATGGTGCTGAGGATTGAACCCAGTGCCTCACACATGCTAGGCGAGTACTCTACCACTGAGTCACGTCCCCAGCCCTTAAAATTAGTCTTTAAATAGGTAGAAGGGTCACATAATCTAAAAATAAGTACACATAACCTATACACACAAATAACTTGTTTTGAATGAAATTGGGTATCTTTTCATATATTTTAAGAGCTTGTATTATCTCCTTTTATGTTTATTCTTTGTCAATTTTTTATTATTTTAGAAGGTTTTCCTCCAATATTGTTTGAACTTTCCCATTATTTCCTCTAAGAGTTCCATCATTTGCATTTAAATCATCTAAACATTGGTATTTATTTCACTATAAGATATAAGACATGGGGCTGGGGTTGTGGCTCAGAGGTAGATCGCTCACCTACCATGCGAGAGGCCCCGGGTTCGATCCTCAGCACCACATAAAATAAAGACATTGTGTCCACCTATGAGTTAAAAAAAATAAGACAGGAATCACTTGAAACCCTGGCCCCTCCCTTAATTCTTTTTTAAGCTGTTTTCCAACACCATTAGTTCATTTTATTCTTTTCACATTGGTTTGGTATGCCTTTATTCCATATTCATATGGTTGCTAGGATCTCTTTCTAAAAGATTTTCTTATTTTGTTCTATTAGGCCTATCAGGTCCTGTCACATTGGTACCCTGATTTTTTAATCAGTGGGACTTTATATTTTAAATGTAGGGCTACGCTAGTTCCAATGCATTGTTTCTTTTAGTTGTTAGTAACTTGGAAATCAGCTTGCTTAATTTACAAACAAAAAGCTATTGAAATTCACATTGATATAACATTAAACATATATTATAACTATGAAAATTCACTTTTTTTTTAATGTTGTGCTAAGAATTGAACTCAGTGCCTTGCACATGCTAGGCAAATGTTCTACCACTAAGCCACATCCCCAACTCAAAATTCACATCTTTATGATTAATTTTCTTAAGTCAAAATGTTATAGCAGTTAGAGTGGATTGGAATTTGCTACTATAAAAATCTCGGCCACTTTAAGACAAATCTTTTTGATCATGCTACATGTCCCTTTAGTCAGCAGGGGCCTCTTTGTGTCACTCAGATTCCAGCTGATGGAGGCTGATATAAGGGCTCAATCTTGAGCCAAGTATCTGTGAAAGCAAAAGCAAGGAAAAGAACAGGTAGAGAGCCACCTTGCTCCTCTTAACCATCAATCCAGAAGTGAAACTTCCACTCACATTTCTGTGATCAGAGAAGTTAATGTGGCTATATAACCTAAATTTAAGCAGGTAAAGAAGTGACTTTCTTCCAGATCCCCAGAATGGGGGAAAAAAATTCTGAATTCTAATGACTACCACAAGTATTGGTATCTTTTGTTTCAGTAGTATTTAAATTTTTCTTTATGTGATTTTTACCTATTGTTTTTTGATATTTTGTCATCCTTTTTTCTTGTTACTAAAGGTAGAATCTTGTATTTCATTTTCTAAATGTACATTTTCATTGCTGTATTATAGTCTGTTGACAAATATGCCACAATTTGTTCATTCATTGTTCTGTTACTGAACGTTTGAGTAACTTGTAATTTTGGTTCTTATGGGACATGCTTGTGTATGTGTTCACATTTTTGTGAGTACATATCTAGAAGTAGAATTATTGGGTCTTTGATATATATTTAGTAAAAACTGCCAGTTTTATATCAGTTTGTATGTTTGCTGTGCATTCCTGCCAACACTTAATATTATCAGCCATTTTAGCCATTCCAGTAAGGTTATAGTACGATTTCGTGGTGTGTGGGTGTGTGTGGGTGTGTGCAATTTTTTAATCTATTTAATATGTCAAGAAGATTGACTTAACTGAATTACTTCATCATTCTTGGTTTAGGTTCAACCTAAACATGTGAAGGAAGCTTTTCGATTACTGAATAAATCAATCATTCGTGTAGAGACACCTGATGTCAATCTAGATCAAGAGGAAGAGATCCAGATGGAGGTAGATGAGGGTCCAGGTGGCATCAATGGTGAGATTTTTTTCATAACTCTTCTTACTTAGGGACTAAAATCTTCTTTTAGATGTCATATGATACAAGTATACTTGTTGATGGTTTTGAAGTGTATTTAGTAAAAGGGGAAAACATTTAAATTGTTTTAACCATTTATAAGTTAATATAATATAATTAAATAGTTGATATAAAATATGTATATGCTTAGCTGGGCATGGTGGCACATGCCAGTAATCCTAGTGTTTTGGGAGGCTAAGGCCAGGAAGATTGCAAAGTTGATGCCAGCCTTAGCAACTTATTGAGACACTATCTGAGCTGGGGATATAGCTCAGTGGTAGTTCAGTCCCCAGTAATCAAAAAAAAAAGGCGCGTATGTGTGTGTACACGCTTGAAAGAAATTCAAATGATGGTATTAGACTTAAGTCCTTTGGCCTTCACCCTTATTTTTAGTATTGTTACTTTGATCTTGAATTAAAAACATTTTTCAAGCATATTATTATGACAAGTAACTTAGAATTGTTAGTTTTGTATATGATATTGTAAATGGACTTTTATATCATGAAATCTTTGTCTTCTATCCCTCATATTCCTTCATATCTTCACTAGTAAAGTCTATCAGTTTGCTTCTAATTTATTTGTAAATGTTTGATAAGGGAATGTTGAAGTCATAAAAACAAGATGCAGGTAGTTAATTTTTCATATAGGTCATGCTGACAGCCCTGCCCCTGTGAATGGAATCAATGGCTCTAGTGAAGACATAAATCAAGACACCATTCCCAAAGCTTCCTTAAGACTGGGCTTTTCTGAATACTGCCGAATCTCCAACCTTATTGTTCTTCACCTGAGAAAAATGGAAGAAGGTGAGGCTATGTCTAATATTGTTCTGTGCTCACTTATATAAGCTGTATTTACATAAGCCACTTTGGATTGCTAAATATTGTATTGTTCTAGCAAAAGAAATGATAAATCATTACACAGACTCGCTTTTTTCCCTTTTCTTTTTCCCCTCCCCCACCCACTTTCTGCATTTTATTTTATCACACACTCACTTTAGCAAAGTAAATTTATGGAGTATCAACATAACCTGCCAGCCTGAACATTTTCCAGCAAGTTTATTGTCAGAAGTTTTTGGATCAGGCTGGGGATATGGCTCATTTGGTAGAGTGCTTGCCTCGAATGCACAAGGCCCCGGGTTCAATCCCTAGCACCACCAAAAAAAAAAAAAAATTATGGATCGTTCTTATTTAATGATCTTGGCCTATTTCAGTAATTTTGAAGCAGAATTTTTGGATCTGATAACATACAAAGATACACATAGGACTGGGGGTGTAACTCGGTGGTAGAGCACTTGTATGTTGTTTGCAAGATGCAAAATTACTACTGTTGGGCTGGGGATGTAGCTCTCAGTGGTAGTGCACTTGCCCACCATGCACATGGCTCTGGTTCCATCCCCGGCACTACCAAAAAATTTATCACCAGAGATTGTCTTACCTTACTGAATATTTGAACTCTGCAGTTTCTGCCCTTGTTTCCCTGGAAACTGTGGACGAGTAGAAGGAGAAGATGCAATAAAGTGGTCACTACAACACATCAGCTGTTTTATCCCCACTCCTTTCTCTCATAAATTAAAAATTAGGGAGCTTGCGTTTTTTTGTTGTTGTTGTTTGTTTGTTTGTTTTTTTCCTGTTGTCTTGGGGGGGGTTCAGGGCTCAGGTAATTTGAGCATGTTAGGCAAGCACTTTGCCACTGAGTTATACCTTTAGACTCCATGTTCTTGTATTCATGTTATACTTCATTATTCTTTTTACATGTTTGTTTATATTTATATTATTATCATAAAATACAATTTATATAATATTTATATATTTATTATATTTCTAATATTATTATATTTATTTTTTAGTTGTTGTTGGACACAATACCTTTATTTCACATATTTATTTTTATGTGGTGCTGACAATCGAACCCATGGTCTCACACATGCTAAGTGAGTGCTCTACCACTGGGCCATGACCCCAGCCCTCCTGGGTTTTTCTTTTTTTCTTTCTTTTTTTTTTTTTTTTTTTTTAGTTGGTAATGGGCCTTTATTTTCTTTATTTATAGGCAGTTCTGAGAATGTAACCAAGTGCCTCACACATGCTAGGCAAGTGCTCTACTACTGAGCTACAACTCCAGCCCCTGTAACTAAGTTTTAAACATAGCAAACTGTTGATGGAAGAAAGACATGATTATCACCCAGACATTGCATTCCACAAGTAAAGTGTTTTTTTCAAGTATTTTTTTTTAGTTGTTGATGGACCTTTACTTTATTTGCTTATTTATATGTTGTGCTGGGAATCGAACCCAGTGCCTCACACGTATGAGGCAAGTGCTCTCCCACTGAGCTACAACTCCAGCCCCCACAAGTAAATTTTACTTGGTTTTCTCTTCTTACCGAATCAAGTAACTTGTTATTTCTCAGTCCCCAAGTAATTAGCTGTTTTCTAGCATAGGGAATACAACTTTAAACCGTGGAAGTCACTTGTTCAAGAACTTTTGGACAAAAACACTGAAGTTTTACTGCAGCCATAATAAAACTTTTCAGAGGCATTAACTACTACTTGAAGAAAATTAAATCTGCATTAGACTCTGAAAAGGAACTAATAAATTAAAAATTTACCTTTTTTTGGTGGTTTTTGTTTTTGCTGGTGCTTGGGGATTGAACCCAGGGCCCAGTATGCGCTGAACCCAGGTCTGTTCTGAGTTTTAGTTCCTTAGAATTTTCCTGATTTGATTTTGTATTTTATTTGAAACTGCTTGAACCAAAAAGTAGAGTTTTCTTTTATTACCCTTTATATCTATGGTGATTGTGTATCTAGGTTCCAGCTTTTTTTGTGAGTTGAGAGTTCTACCTTGAACAGCTATTAAGTTGGCATGGATAGACCTTGATAGAATAAATTGTTAATTTTTTATTTTGAAGGACCACCTGTGAATTTTACATCTTAGTTGACTCCAGTGCCATAAAGTTCTTTTTTCCAAAGAGGAAATGTTATATCTAAGAAGTTTTTGCTTGCTGTTGCTTTGCTCCTAATTTATGCTTTCAGTTTCTCTTAGTGATGAAGCATAACATGAAGGAAAGACCTTCATACTTTGAGATCTTAATAGCTTTAGGACACTTATCTTATCTCTGTTTTATCAGGTTTTTCTTCTTTTCTGGATAAAGTGTACTTTAATACAAATAATATGATAAGTTATTTCCAGCTTAATGCTGGAACATAGTAAACCTTATTTCAGCAGATGCACTTTGTGACAGGTTGATGGTTATCTGTTCTGTACATTATCTTGTGTATGCAAACCCCCAAGGAATGTTTACTGAATTCTTGTAAAATGCATTTTTTTGTTGCAGAGGAGGATGAGTCAGCATTAAAGAGGAGCGAGCTTGTTAACTGGTACTTGAAGGAAATTGAATCAGAAATAGACTCTGAAGAGGAGCTTATAAATAAAAAGAGGATCATAGAGAAAGTCATTCATCGACTCACGCACTATGTATGTACATAATGGCATTTGCTTTAGTAATTAATGAGGGAGTTCATGTCTCCTATCTATATGGGCTCATTAACAAAATGTATTTTTAATGTGTTTACCTTGAATTATTGGGGTGTTAACAAGTAAATGACTTACTTCCTTTGCTAAAACAAGCAGAATTGGGGGGAAATCAGAGAAAGTGGCTTTGGTATCTTAACTGTTTGGGTGTTTTTAGTTTTAAACCTCTTATTTTCCAGCATTATCACCTGTTTTTTGTATTTCATCTTTCTTATATCCTTATCTCCCATCTTTGCTTCTTCAGCTTTCTTCTCTCTTTGTCTTACTTGTCAAAACCCCAGCCTTGGTTAAATTTAATTTTTAATATTTATTTTTTAGTTGTAGTTGGACACAGTACTTTTATTTTATTAATTTATTTTTATGTGATGCTGAGGATCAAACTGAGGGCCTTGCATGTGCTAGGCAAGCACCCTACCACTGAGCTACAACCCCAGCCCAGTTCTTAACTTTTTGTTTTGTCAACTTCACAATAACTGTAAAGCACTGTTCCTTTTCCTTAGACAGTTCATTTTTCCACTCTTAACTATTACATTGCTTTTCTCCACCCCTTGAATCAGCTGGTCATTCTCATTATTCAGTCTGTCTGCAGCATTTGTTAGTTGATTACTCCTTCTAGAAAACTACCTTCCCCTTCTCCTTCGTCTTTTGTGTCATTTAGTTTCTTTTCCTGAATCTTTCTCTCTTTTTAGATAATAGACACAAATGTCTTTAGTGTAAGCATTCTCATTTGGTTTTATGAATTCATCCAACTGTTGATGACTCCCAAATTTATAGCTATCTCTCTCACTTCTATAAACTCCAGATGTATATAATCAGTTGACCGCAGAATGAACTAATAGACTTTTTGCCCTTAATGTGTTCAAAACAGAGTTCTTAGTGGAACATAGTGATGCGTGCCTATAATCCCAGCAACTTGATGAAACCCTGTCTCAAAATAAAAAGGGCTGTTATAGAGCACCCCTGGGTTTAATCCCCAGGACCACAAAAGAAAAAAATTCTTTCCCTCTTCCTCTGTTTTCCCATTTATTCAGTTGCTATAGGCCAGATTCCTTGAAACAATCCTTAATTCCTCTGTTCTTTTAATGAAAAGAACTAATGAGTTCTCCAGCTTACCCAGGTCGCCAGGCCTGAACCCCTACATCCACTTGAATATTGGCTCTCTGCCCCGCAGCCAGTCAGGGTTTTTTAGAACAGAACATAGGTTATTTTTCTTCCCTACTATTAAGTGCTTTATTCACATTTAGAATAAAATTCAGTCTCCTTGGCATGCCATGCAGAATCTGGCACAGGTTAGCCCCTGTCTCTCATTTGTTTCATAGCTCTCTTCCTTTTTGCCCATTCCTCTCCAGTGACACTGCCTTGTCATTATTCCTTAGATACACCAAACATGAAGGGCTTTGCACTTGCCTTTGTCTCTTTTTTTCTGGGGTCTCTTCAAATGTTACCTTCTCAAAGAAGCCTTTTTTGCCCAACATGTCACGATAACAGCCTTCTCTATCATCCTGCTTTGTGTTGCTTCACGATGGTTTTTATTGTCTATTCTTTACTTAGGTGTTTAGTTTATCACTCTCAGAATGTAAGCTCCATTCTTGGAGGGCCAAATAAAACTTTGTTTTATTCACTGCTATATTTCTGGAATGCACAGTGGTACCTACAACATAGAGGGGTCAAATATTTATTGAATGATAGGATTTTCCAGTTCACATGGCAGAGAGTCAACCATCATGCCCATTCACTCAGTAATGCTCACTATTTAAATATTACACCTCACGTGTTAGGGTTGTATCACCTGAAAACATTACCTGTGGGGTTTAGATGGATATGTGATTATAGGTGTGTGTAGAGGGGTGATAACTAATGCTCAGGTCAGGATCTAGTAAATAATTTGTATGAAAATTTAGGCTGGATTGAGGTAGTGTGCATACAGAGTTGTCTTTCTAGTGGTGGGAAATGTCTTTGCATAGGCCAGGCCTTCTCTCCCTAGTGCTCCATGGGATCAATACAACATAAAATATCCAGACAAGAAATTTGTGTGAGGATTATAAAACACACCAGGGAGCTAACTGATCTGAATCAAGGTTCTTTTTAGTTTGACTTACCACTGAATGATAGGATTTTCCAGTTCAAGACAAGAGAACCTGTGCTGTGCTGCTCAACATGATAGAGTGCTTCAAAGGGTCCAGTCCCCCATAGTGGCAGCAGTGCTCTAACTATGGGGCATTGCCAAACTACTACTACTATTTTTGTTTGTACCTGGGATTGAACTCAGGGACATTTGACCACAGAGCCATATCCCCGCCCTATTTTGTATTTTATTTAGAGACAGGGTCTCAACTGAGTTGCTTGGTGCCTCACTTTTGCTGTGGCTGGTTTTGAACTCCTGATTCTCCTGCTTCAGCCTCCCAAACTGCTGGGATTACAGGTGTGCACCGCTGTGCCCAGCTGCCAAACTTCCTAGGATCAAATCAGTTCTTTTCCATGGGGTTGGCTAAAAGCTCTTCTCATTTATGGATATTTTCCACTAATTAACAAATATACTAGACTTGAATTTAAGGCTGGGCTCAGTGGCGTGTACTGTAATCCTAGTGACTCAGGAGCATAAGACATTCTGAAAGATTAAGCATATGCCACATTCTGCATGTGCTGATATAATAGGCTGAAGCGTGAAAATATATGAAAGGTGAAATGGATCCATTGGGCCAGTCTTTGAATAACTATAAAACAACTTTATCTTATCAGAATAAAGAAGACTGAAAGTCTCCATGTGGTATTCATTAGTCAGAGGTTTTCAGAGTTCCATTATGTTTATCAAAATAAGCATTGTGATTGTGATTGGCAGTGATTATTAATGGTAATTGACTAAGGATCTTTCTCCATAAGAGAATCTGAATAGAAAAGTCAGCCATATAATCCTATCATTCAAGTCTCAAACTCTGGTTTTTGTTTAATGTTTCCAGATCTCAGGTCTGCACGTTTTCTATGCATCCAGTTCTGAAGTTGATACTTTCAAGGATTAAAGAAATTTTAGCTAGGTGCATTGGCACATGCCTGTAATCCCAGCAGTTCAGGAGACTCATTGCAGGAGGATCACAAACTCAAGGCCAGCCTCAGCAGTTTAAATCCACAGTGCATGGATGGATGGATAGATAGATAGATAGATATGTAGGTCAGTTGTAACGTGCCCCTGGGGTCAGTCCCCAGTACAAAAAAACGGTTGAGGGTATAGCTTACTGGTAGAGCACTTGCTAGCATGCACAAAGCACTGGGTTCAAGCCACTGCACTACAAAAAAAAAAAAAAAAGCATTTTCTACTTTGGCTTAAATAGATAATATTAAATAAAATTAAACAGATTTAAATATTAGAGAATTTTGCATAATTTTAAAACTCAAGCATTATCTTATTTTTCCCCACATTCAAGCATTACTTTTTTCGAAGTTATATTTATAATCATTGGATGTAATGTGCCAGGAAACATTAAATCACATTACCTGTTGAGCTTGCTTATATGTTTCTTTAATTTTTTTTTAAGGTTTATTGTATGAAAAGTTCAGCAACCTAATGGAAAGGGTGTTTAGCAGAACACTGATAGTGAGTTTAAGGAATAGTCCTTGTCCTGGAAGTTTTGGATGGTGAAATCAAACAGATATCGGTGATAAACCTTCAGGAGGATTAGTATATCTGGACTTTTTTTTGCCAGGCACAGTGGTGCACATCTGTAATCCCAGCAACTCTCTGGAGGCTAAGGCAGGAGGTTTCCAAGTTTGAGGCCAGCCTCATCAACTAAGTGAGGCCCTAAGCAATTTATACTCTGTCTCAAAGAGCTGGGGGTGTAGCTCAGTGGTAAGACACCCCTGGGTTTAATCCCCAGTACTACAAAAGTAAATTTAAAAGTGTGTCTGAACATTTTTATAATACTGCTAGAGACCTGAGGGAAATGTTTGTTTTATAGGACCATGTTCTAATTGAGCTCACCCAAGCTGGATTGAAAGGCTCCACAGAAGGAAGTGAGAGCTATGAAGAAGATCCCTACTTGGTAGTTAACCCTAACTACTTGCTTGAAGATTGAGATGTTGAACGTAATTGACCAGAGCTAAGTCACTGTGCCACACCACCTCCTGACCTGGAGCCTGGATGGAGCTCTGCTAGGATGAGAATTGTTTCTGGGAATGATGCTTCAGGATTTGTTTTGAGAAACAGGAACTGAGGTGATGGTCCTGTGTATCACATCTATTACATGCTTTCTATCAACATGGGCTTCAGCTTATTCCTTGTGTATTTCTTGTCTTAATGAAGTTGGACCCCCAATAATGTGTGGTTTCTGGAACTGAGACCTTCGTTTTCATGTGAGGAGGAGACCTGTCACTTTCATGGTATATAGTATCCTATCAAGGAAATCACTTTTCCAGTTGCCAACTGCTGCTTTTATTCATCAAAATAAAATAACTTGTTCTGAAGTGTCTGTTGGATTTATTTCTACTCTGCTGTGATTATCATGTCCATATACTTTCAAGTGCTAGTTCTTTTTTGCTAATCTGGAGTGAAGGTGTGGGTGGCATTATGGATTTGGAATTAGGTTCCTTGAAGAGGAGTCATTAGAGAGAATGAAAGCTAGAGACCTTGGAGATGACTTTCCAAGGGTAATTCCAGTGTCTTTTTTTTTTTTTTTTAAGGTAATTCATAAGAAAGTTTTTCATTAATTTTTTTTTCATTACTCTTTAATAATTTCTTTTACTTCTGTGTTCTAAGGGAAATTTTTAAATTGCTCTTATAAAAGTAATGTCACTTTCTGTATTATAAACTTTGTCTTCAAATTTTATGACTTTTCTAGAAAAAATTATTGCTCTCCATAAGATTTAGCTATGACCCAAAAAAAAAACTTTTGTGATACTGGGATTGAACCCAGAACCACTGAGCCACCATGATGTCTTAATTTTTTTTCTCTTATTCTTTTTCCTTTTGGGGTGGGAGAGGTGGGAGGCCAGTGCTAGGATAAACCCAAAGCGTTATGCAGGGGCTGAGCTATGTCCTTAGCTCTTTTTTATTGATTTTTAGTCTCACTAAACTGCCTGGGTTGGCCTCAAATTTGTGTTCCTCCAGAGGGGGGCCCCAGGCTGGGACAAACCCTCTCCTCTCCGACAGAACAAGGGGAGGCGGCCCCAACCCCCTTCTTTTCAACATGGACCTCCTCCTCACTCTGCTGCAGCATCCTAGGGGCAGGACCCCCCCTTCCCTGGGACTGGGGTAGTAAGTAAGGCAGCCTTTTGCACCCCAGTCCCCCTTCCCCATTAGGAACACCTTGGGGAGAGAGGGGAATGTGGCAGAACAGGGGAGGCAAGAGGATGAACGCCTGGCACTGGTAGCAGCAGTGACTGGTGTCTAAGAATAAAACACTGAAAAAAAAATCAACACAACTGTCCAGAGGTAGTTTGTGAACAGAGGAAAGGATGGAACCAGAACCATGGGGGTTGGGGAGGAGTCAGAGGCAGTGTGGGCAGGGCAGGCTCCTTGTTAATAGTGCCCCAGCATGATGCCACCTTTAACAACAGATGGCCTTCTAGGGGTCTGCGCGACCAGTGAGTGTTTCTGTGTGGTTAAGTTCTCCAGTCAGGTACATTGGCATGTGCCTATAGTTCCAGCCTCTCAGGAGGCTGAGGTAGGAGGATTGCTTAAGCCCAGGAGTTTAAGAGCAGCCTGTGCAATGTAGTGACCCAGTCTCAGAAGAAAAGAAACCTGACTTGAGAATGATGGGGTGAGGCGATCTGGAATTCCACAGTAAATGCAGGGTAAAAGTTACCGTCAATGTATATTCCTAATTAACAAGGTTGAGACACTGACAATGGGATGAGGAGGCTCATGGTAAAAACTCAAGAAAGCAAGAAAGCCCTCTCCCATGTCTAGTAGGAAGTTTCTTTTTTTTTTTCCCCCCCCTCCCGCCCAGTCCCCTCCCTCCCGCTCCGCGCCTTCCTCCCCCCAACTCCGTCTAGCACTCTAGACACCTCTCCCCAGCCCAATTCGCTCCTCCCTCCCTGTCCTCCCCCAACTCCCCAGCCTCTTTCCTATTTCGCCCCGCCCTCTCGGGCCACACCTCTTTATGCCACGCCCCTCCGTCCTCTGGGTCTGAGCCCCGCCCCCGCAGGCAGGTCTCACTGGTAGGTGTAGTAGGAAGTTTCTTTACTGATTTGGGGTGGGGAGGTCCTGAAAGGAAACAACTTGACTAGAACTGAAACATTAATTTGACCAAATATATACCCCAAAGAAAACTTTAAACCCAGGAAAAATGCCTTCCTTTTTGGTGAATTTGTCCTCTCCCCTCCAATCGTGCCATTAGAGAAGAGGGGACTCCACAGCAAGATCATGACTGCAAACAATGAAATCCATTTTCATAGCTTACACATCCTCTTAATGCAGTACTTGGTAGGGAGCTAAAGTGGTAAATGGGTTATAGAGCATGTATAAGATCTTGATGAAAATTAGAAAAATATTTAAGGTGAGTATAGACTGTTCCGAAAGGAAAAGTTTTGAATTTTGTAATGTTGTCAACTGATATATAAATTTAAAGGATTTTTAACCAAATGTCAACAGATATCCATCAGTAAGGAAATCATAAGTTGTAGTATTGGTTTACACACAAAATTACATAGTCATAGATATTGTGAAATGGGGACTATCTCTAGGACACGTGCAAGAGGAAATATATAAACACTTCCAAGAAGATTCTGGGAGAATGCATGATAGGAGAGGCCTTGTCCTGTCAGAAAGAAAAAAAATACTACACAGGTATAGAAATTAAAATAGTGTGTTAGTGGTGCTGGAATAGGTAAATAGGTGGAAATCTATAAACTTCTGCACATATAGTTTTTCTTTCCTGGTAAATTAGCATTTCAAATAGTTCAGAAAGATGACTTGAGAGGTTGAGGCAGGGAATCACAAATTCAAAGCCGATTTTTGCAATTTGTTGAGACTGTCTCAAAGACTAAACAGGACCAAGAATACAAGTTAGTAACAGAGCACCCCTGAGTTCAATCCCTAGTAGTGGGGGAAAAATGGGGAAGAACAGCCTATTCAATAGCATATTAGAAATTGGCCTGCCATACAATATGTGCCGTTAAAATTCAGGGTGGGTTAAAGATCTGAAGATATAAAAAGAATAATCAAATATTAGGTAGGTTTGACCTGGGATATTTTTTTCTTTTTAGAAACTGGTACTAGTTAATATATGTTGAAGACACTAGGGAACCAAATTAGGAGAAAATTTTTTCTATCCTGTTTTTGATGAGATGTTCAACCTTAAAATAAAAGTATATGAACATAAATAAAAGTAAGAAAATAAAGTAAATAGTAAGAAAATAAAAGTATATGAACATAAATCACAGAAAAATAAATGGCCAGTTTACAAGAACACCTCTAAATCAGAAAAATTAGAATCATTTTGGGGCAGTAGCTCAGTGGCAGAGCACTTGCCTAGCAAGTGTGAGGCACTGGGTTCGATCCTCAGTACCACATGGAAATAAATAAAGGCGTTCTGTCAATTTACAACTACAAAAAAAAAAAAAAAGGAAAATGAGAAAATCAAGGAAGTATTTCATTTTTTCAAAGTGTCAAAATGTGAAATTTTATAACATGTTAGCAAGGCAGAGAGATTTAGGAACACTACCAGGAAGGATTTAAATTTGGAAAAAAAAAAAAACTTAATTTTACTCATTTTGGGTATGCCTGGCATAGAATCCATCTGTACAAAAAATGGTCACAAATGGACTATCTGTGAATAAGAATATACATTTGAAGCATTGTTTATAACACATTAAAACAAGCTGTATGTGGTGGCACACGCCTGTAACCTCGGTGTCTCAGATAAGGCAAGAGGATCACAAGTTTGAGGCCAACCTGGTCAATTTAGCAAAATTTCATCACAAAAAATAAAAAGGGCTTCTATGTAACTCATTATGAGTGCTCCTGGGTTCAATTTCCAGTACTGGCAGGGGGATGGAGGAAACAACCTTAAAAGCAATGAAAGGGTTCAATATGCAAGAGGTTTAATTATGCTCAATCCTTAACTGGAATGCTGGGCATCTGTTAAAAAGAGATTAGTCTATGGAGCTGGGGTTGTGACTGGGGTTGTAGAGTGCTTGCTTATCATGTGTGAGGCACTGAGTTTTATTTTCAGCATTTCATATATAAAAAATAAAGGTCCATTGACAACTAAAAAAAAAAAAAAAGATGAGTCTATTCTGAGATCACTCAGTTATTAAGTGAAAAAAGGAGCTTAGTAACAATGCATATGGCATGATTCCAAATACATTAATTTATGTCATATACTTTGAATGCTATATGCATATTTGCATTTTTATGTAATAATCACTGAGTTTCATTATTCTAAACATCTTACAATTATGTCCCATTACTGTCCACAATATATCATTCATTATCTCCATTCTACAGGCACAGAGAAATTACTTTCATCTGTGATTTAAACTTTTTTTTTAGAGAGAGAAAATTTTTTAATATTTATTTTTTTTAGTTTTCGGTGGACACAAAATCTTTTTATGTGGTGCTGAGGATCGAACCCTGTGCACCCCGCGCATGCCAGGAGAGCGCGCTACCGCTTGAGCCACATCCCCAGCCCATAAACTTTTGAATAACCATTATGCCATGTGGCGAAAGGAAATAGGAAGAAATTATAATGTGCCAATTTTTTTTTAAAAAAAAAAGCAAGCTGGAAGAATCCACATTGTTGAAGGTGTTTATTCTAGAAAGAATATGGAAGTGATCAAAGGAGAATTTGCAAGGTTTTCATAGATGTTTCTATATTTAAATATTTTACAAGATGTATTCACTGTTTGCTTTTTGTGTGTGTGTAGTTCTGGGGATTAAACCCAGGGACCCCTACCACTGCTACTTCCCCAACCCTTTAACATTTTTAAAGTTTTGAGACAGGGTCTCATTAAATTCAAGACTGGCCTAGAACACACATTCTCCTGCCTCAGTCTCCAGAGTTGCTAGAATATCAGTTGTGTGCCACCTTGCCCAGCTGTTCACATATTTTCAAAGTGGTGGGGGGAGTTGCTGAGGGACTTATTTCTGTTTATAATATGTCAAGAAATTTTGAAGTACCAGGTGCAGTGGTGCACACCTGTAATCCCAGCAGCTCAGGAGGCTGAGACAGGAGGATCATGAGTTCAAAGCCAGTCTCGGCAAAAAGTGAGGCACTAAGTAACTTAGTGAGACCTGTCTCTAAATAAAATACAAAATAGGGCTAGGGATGTGGCTCAGTGGCTGAGTGTCCCTGAGTTTAATCTCTGGTCCCCCACCCCACAAAAAAATAAATTTTAAGGTAATAGACAGGGCTGGGGATGTGGCTCAAGCGGTATCGTGCTCCCCTGGCATGCATGCAGCCTGGGTTCGATCCTCAGCACCACGTACAAACAAAGATGTTGTGTCCGCCGAGAACTAAAAA